GCCGGAAGTCGATTTTTCCGCCCCGCCCTGAATATTTTCAAAATTCATATAGCTCTCACATTGTCATTCTTCAAATTGATTTACATTTTATTTGTTTAAGAAACTCCTTGATTCCATATTCATTTACGTTACATACAACAATCTAGGTTTGGAATTATATGCCCTTTAATCACACTTTTTAGTTTTATAGAATCTTTTAAACTAGACATGGGCTGCTCCAAACTGCCCAACCCGCTATTCTGTTTAAGATACTAAACCTAGTATTTTTAATTACTCCTCTCTAAAAGCATCCAACTTGATATGAAAATTTTTACCCTAAGTACTTTTTTATTAGATCACAGCCCAGTAATTCTTATAATTAATGATAAAAGTCATAATGAGGAAGTAACAACCACCTGTATCTTCGAACGCAAAGCAACCTTCGATGGAGACACAGCATGGGATACAAAGACTCTCTTCTCTCTCAATTTCAGCTTGGTGCACCCCAAGGCTATATTATTGTGCCTTTATTCTTTTCTATGTTACTAAACGCTCTTCTATTAGTATTTAATTTATCCCAATTTCATCTATAAGCTGATGTCCTACAAGCAATCTCTGAAGCTATGCTCAACCGTGATCTTCATCTATCAACAATTTATATGTACAATCAACGATCCTTTTATAAAGAACATAAATAATGAGGTTATAAACAATTATAATAAAGTAATAAATATAGTAAATAAATACAAGTAAATAACACAGTAGTGAATAAACAACATTGATAAAATAACATGAACAAAACAACAACAAACATTAGTAATAATAAACAATAAACTATATTTTATGTAATACAACTATATTTATTTCAAAACAATCTACAAAATTATTGCCTTCAATTTATGTCTAAATGTATTAAAATTTAGATGGAAAAACATCAATATTTGAGCATATCTTATTTCCTTCTCTCATTACTCTATTTATTGGAGAATAAAATATGTTTTATTTTACAGAAAGGTACGTTAAACGTATTAAAATACCTCGTAGCACGTATTGGGTCATTAAAATTGTTACTTAAAATAAGTTCAATACATTTTAGTCACTCATTGATTATATCGTAAAGAAATAATAGATAAAAAAACCTTCTGTCAGCTAGTGGTGGAAGATTACAGAGAGAAAAGACAGTTCTGAGGATGAAAGGAGAGGAAATCGAAAATGAATATTCTAATAAATTTATTTTTAACTTTATTAAATATTCAGAATGAGTAGAAAAATATAGGACGAATGAGAGTTTTGTACAATGCCAACGATGAATTGGGATTATGAATATTATTTTTTACAAAACCCAGAATTTTAAGGTTTTTTTTTATTAGCACTGATAATATTGTAAAATCCTTAAATTCTAAGTTGCTATCCAGCAAGATACCCAAATCTTTGACACAGGATACTTCGTTTAGTGTGGTATTGTTGAGAGAATAATTATAAAGAATGGTGTTGGAAGAACTATTATAGAAAATTACTGAGGATTTAGCTACATTTAAATTTAAATAGATAATTTGACACCATAAACTAAGTCTTTCGATAGATTGCTGTAAGAGAAGAGAGTCTTGTGTCTTATAGAGAGGAAAATTTTAACATAACCAGCATATAATAGAAATGGTGTAACAGAAAGAAAGGACTTAAGGTCATTTATAAAGATTAAAAATAAGAAATGGTCAAGTAATAAAGGCATTCTTTTAAATCCTAACAAATCCCTGTCCGTATTAATTTCAAATAAACCCATTAATACAGATTGCCTATCCTCTCCTCATATCAACAGATTCCCTATTAATTTTTCTCCTAAAGTTAAAAATCTTGGCGTTATTTTTAATTCCAAGCTTACATTTCATGACCGTGTGAGCTCTGTTATTAAAAATGTCTACTCAAGCCTCCATTCTCTTCAACGCATTAGCTTTTTCACTCCTTAAAAAATTTAGCGTTCTCCTCCTTATTAAATCCCTAAGGATTCATTTATTCTCTTAGTGCAGAGCTATTTTTTCACTTCCCTTGGACTTCTTTCCAAAAAATTAAAATTTTAGATTTATCCAGATTTACGGTCAAGTTACATTGGTTGCAAAAAGCCTCTAATAATAGTTTATATATCTTTGTAGAATCTTTGCCCCCTATGACAATGCCTCATTCAAGAACAGAACTTAAGACATCCAAAAACAAAGAAAATATATTTAAAAAAACACACTGAAATACCATTTTTAATGCACCTGAAACTCTAAGACCAAACATAGATTTCAGAATATTCAATATATTGTAAGAAAGAAACCTATATTGAGCTTCATAATTAGTGAATTCTCTCTTCAGAATTGATGGTCTATTTAAAAGTACAAATTCAAATAATTTGGAAAGAATAGGTGCAATTGTGAAAGGGCGGAAGAACCAATGAGAACAAAATATTAAAGAGGGAACTATTGTAAAATGAACTGTCCCATAAAAAATAGCCCAACTACATTTTTACATAAGTGTCATTACATAGTGTCAAACTGACAAAATCAAAAGAATATCTGATAGTTGTATAACATTTTTCCACAATTTTATCAACTATCTTTCTGTTTCACATTTATCTTTATTGTTTTCCTCCATCAAGTCTCTGAAAGTCTCAACATTAAAAAAAACACTGGTCTTGTCATCCTTGATATGGAAAAAGCCTACGACACCATATAGTATTATTGACAGAATGATTGAATATAATTTCCCATTTATATAATTGTGTGTGCACTCATAACTGCAAATGAGATCTTTTCAGGTAGCCCCCATAACTCTCTTTCTTCTCCTTTCACCATTAAATCTGATGTTCCTCATGGCTTGATTCTGGTTTCAACACTATTTGGTATATTTCTAAATGCTCTGCCTTGGGGGCGTCGGTGGCCACAACGGTTTAGGCGTCGACTCGGCGTTCATCACTGTAAGGTAAAGGTCCCGGGTTCAAATCCAGCGGCCCTGCATTCGAACCCGACGTACTTACAAATGTTTTTTTTTTCAAAAACACCGGCACCCTGAGGGTTTATATGACCTCTGCTGTTGCAAACCCTCGTAAAAAAAAAAGAAAAAAAATGCTCTGCCTAAACCTAATTGTTGCCAACTGGCAATATACGCAGATGATTTTGCGCTTTACCATTCCTCCTGGAGGCCTCGATGGAATCCCTGTAAAGATCTTAAAAATTCTATTAATGAACTATCCCTTTAACGATCTCTGATTTAATTGGTGATAATTGTTAACCTTTTCTTAAAAGCTAATTTGGATTTGTGAGATTTTTTGTTGCAAGGTGGTGAGCCAATAGTCTAGTTGTTTTTCAATCACCCTTCTCTGCCTATCCTCATGGCTTTGCCAAACTTCATTGGTACGTTTGTATGTTATTTTGTATTTGCTAATATTAAATTTCAACTAGCATCATATTAGTTTGTTATAAATGTGTGGTGTTTAGTGACCATTAATTAATGATTATTTGGAGAGCATGATATGCGGTCTGGTGTGACGTAGGTTTAGAAAAAAAAATTTTATTGTGCCAACATTTCAATCTTTATTGAGATTATCTTCAGGGATCAAAGTGTTTGTTTTCTGTGTAAATGTGTCATTATTGTGTGTCGTGTTGGGAGTGCCACTACTAAAATCAAAATTACATTGTAAAAACTCTGTAAACATGTAAATATGTGTGCATATAAAAATTGTGCTGTAGCTTAGTTGTTCTCTCTAAGGTTTCGCTTTTGCTGGAAGAGTGATATAATCACCACACTTGACAAAGCTGTGAGGAAGGAGTTCAAAAATTGTATCTGTAATTGTGTTGTAGCTTGGTTGTTCTCTGCTAGGTGTGGTTTTTGAGAGAGCGGTATAGAGTAACCACAGTAGTTATTTGTTGTTAATATTGGTGTTCAAACCAATATATAACCATATTTTTATGTAACTATTTTAATAATTATTTATACAAACAATAATCAAATGCATCGTTTTGGACAGATTCAAGGTGTGGTTGTTCAACATGTCATTTCCATTAGTTTTAGTGGTCTTTTCTAAGAATTTCAGAGCTCTTATTTTGAAATAATATAATATTTTTTTTATAATTTACTTGATTGAGTCAATATTATTATTCATTTTGTACAGTTTGCAATAGTAGAAGTCATACCAACCCCTGGGGAATCAGTGTTTTTTTTTTTTTTTAAAGCTTATTTGCAAGTTCCAAGCTGCTGGATTCAAACCCAGGACCAGAATGAGGTAGTTTATTAAAACACGTGGTCACTAAGTAACACACATATTTTTTGAAATATTTAGAATAGAGAACGCATTAAATAAATACAAAGTTTTTAAAAATATTTTATTTTAACAGTATGATATACAATGGCAGAATATACCAAGTCTTCGTGTTATAGCATTAGTCAATATTAACACTTTTTATTGCAAAAATAAATAAATTTTTACTGCTATTTCATCACGAATGAAGAATATTGGTTATATAATTAACATTATAACAATATTAAAAAACTGAAATATCTGCTACTTCAGTCTCTTTTATTTTACTAATGTTATATGTATAAAAATTATTACTAATTTTTTTTTAATGCTTATTTAACATGAACTAACTACATCACAAATTGGACGGAAGTAATAGTTTTACGTAAAAAAAAGTTAATAAATATTTTCCAAAGATATATATAGTGAAACGTTCGGAGATTAGTCTTGATATATTGAAAACTGACAATTGCAAAACAGCGATTTCATAAAAGTTAGTCTAATATCTATAATTTAAAAAAATTGTCGATTATATACAAAACAAAATTTAAATTTAAAATAATACCGTGAACGGCAATAGTTTACAGTCTATTTAAACTCTTATCCTTACCAAACAGCTCAGTGTATGTATGCAAATGAGATTCATTCGTATGTCTTAAAGTTTGATTTTTATGAAAAGGTTTTACATTTCTAGTTGTATACCCAACCAATTTTTGTATTTCATTATGTACTTACAACCTATCAACTAGAAAAATAATGTTTTTATTTGGGTGAAATGACAAATACATATTCGTTTATCTTAGTATTAAGAAATGTATAACCATAAATAATGCTGTTAAAGAAAACATGACGGATTTATTAACCTTTAATGAAGAGCTACCATTGCAACGGTTGTCAAAACTACAGAAGCAAAATGTGGTCTCATCATAATAGTCTCTGTAAAAATAAAAAATAAAATTAACAACCAGTATTTAGGCAAATAAATACAGAATATGAAAACTCAAATTAATTTTTATATTATACTAGTTAACCAGAAAAGTTAATTTGTTTTATCATTTGATATGGTTTTAATACTGTTAATCAACATTTCTACTTTCATAGGAGGTTTAAGTTTTTCATCATCCAATACCAAAAGGATTATGCATTAGATCATAAAGAAAAAGTGTCTGGAACAGTTCCCTATAAATTATAAAATATTTTCTTTCTAATGGCTTCACACTGATAATTTGTCTGTGCTTATTCTATGAATTTAAGCTGGGTAGTCATAAAATTTGCATTGTGTTCAGTGATGAAACAATGAGTGCACTGCTCACAAGTGGTACAAAAAGTTTAAAAAAAAGTTCTACACCAACCACAAAGCATCACTTTTCGTTAGAAAATGTTGGTCATTTGGTGACAGCCAATGGTACGACTTCCTCGTATTACCATACAGGATCCATATTTTGTAGCATGTTGACTATCCAGTAGAAAGGGTGTTGTGAAAGCGATGAATGGCAAATATTTAGATGCTGAAGCTTGCTACCGTCGTGTTATGAGGAACTCATTTGCTTAGCTTCTTTGATTTCATCGCTTATGTTGAACAATCTGGTGACCTCCTGACATACTTGACTCAAATGAAGTTCAGTATCTTCCCCCAATTTGTTGTCATTCCAGACAGTGGTTCATCTTCAATCCCCTCATACACAGAAGCAAATTTTTTTAACCACTTTTGGGTAGTGTGCTCACTTATTGTTTCATCACCAAATGCAGTGAAAATTTTACCGGCTGCCCTAAGTACCAAGATAAATTTCATACAACAAGCATGCACGAATTTGGTTTTCGATGTCATGAGAAAGAAAATATTTTTTAATTTATAGGTAACTATTTAAGGAACTTTTTCTTTATGAAGTGATGCATTATCTTCTTGGTATTACATAATGTAAACACCTAAAACTCCTATGTAAATAGAAATGTTGATTAACTTTTAAAACAAAAAATGAAAAACCACACAAACTTTTCTGGTTGCCTGGTTTAATAATGTTAAATTGATGCAGAAGTTACATACATCCAAAAAAGTTATCTAAACTGATTACAGAATAAACAAACAGTAATTGAGCAATATACTGCTACTTTTGTTGTACTCTGTTCAGAGTACACTCAACAAAAACTAATGCCTTAGAGTTTGCAAAAATTAAACCAAAAGGATGTAAATATTAACAAAATTATGATAAGTATTTTATTTTAAACATAAAACAAAAATGAAGATATAACAAATATAAAAACAAAATCTAGTTATTATAGTTTGTCTACCTAAAAGAAACTACTATATGGCTTTTCTATTAACAGTAAAGAGGCACCTGAAAAAGTTCATCAAAGTACCATCGCAGAAACTAACAGCAGAACTGCTAAATCTAGGATGTGTTAAGACTGGAATAATAATTCGATCGCTAATTGGACATTGCATACTATGGAAGCATATAAGCTCAGAGTGGCGAAAAAAGCCTGGGCAGATATTGCAAGGAACACGTCCTCTGTTGGAGTGAAGACTTATGTAGGCTGAGATTCATACTCCTGGGAGAAGAAAAGCCCAGGCCTTAAAGATATACACAGGAGTCTTAGGATTTTTTGGGATATGGTAAGAACAATGAGGAGCTAGACAACAACTGAGAAGCACAACAGACCAATACTGGCCATGGTGTGCATGTTGTAAAGAGACCTCCATCTCTAATCTAATGTTAAATACGCTCAAATCTGACAACTTGAAAATTATGATATATTATCAAATTGAAGTGTTTATAATACAAATGTATGTGAATGAAAATGGAATTTAAAATATAAAAATCAACTGTAATTTAATGATAAAATAGTAAAATGTTATTGCATACTTACTTTTTAACATCCAGTTCTTTTATAGAACTGAAAACATAATTTCCCAGCTTTACATCCACAGCAGCCGGTTTGCAACCCTCATAGTGGTCAGCAGGTATGTCGGTTCGAACACCTTTCAAGGCACTCAAACAATCCCTCGTTACCACCTCAGAAGCTACAAAATTACAACAAATATTACCATATGTTGTGTAATGAAAATATGATATTTTATTGCATACCTCCTTTTCTTTCTATAACTTTAACGCAAGTGTCACCATCTTCTGGGCATGCTTGGCTCCAGTGCCAAAACCAGTTAAAAGGGCTACACCCAGGCTGTGTAGAAACGCATTGATAGCAATATAATGTAGATCCAATTCCAAACGATTGAACTGTCAACAGAAACAAATTTAATATTATATTTTAAAAAGTTATTAAAGATGTATGAGTAGTATGATAATAAATAAAATATATAAAATTGATATAAATGTGCATTTGAGAAAAGAGATTTTTAATTTGATGTATGAACATGACTAAGCATTTAATTAGACTGACCTATCTAGATTTAGGTACACATTTACACAACTTTTGGTTCCATAGACCTTAATTTAGCAATAGTTAGGTGGGAACAGTCTTAAGTGTAAACAACATTAATACATCAATGAAATGCAATAAGTCAAAACAATTAAATTATACATAAGTAACATTATACATATGATACGAACAAGGGATATATTACATCTTATATATGTATAGCTGTCCAAAACCAAAAAAATAAAAGACTGCACAAGTAAAAAAATTCGAGTAACACCAATATTTAGAATTAATTAAGGTTTTTAGTTGAGGTAAAAAAATCAATGGCACTAGCGGGACACGAACCCATGATCTTCGGCTAGATACGCCGCTGCTCTACCACTTGAGCTATCGTTACCTCGATCCACTCAGACACTAACTTCCCATCTCAACCGCACCTTTTGAATTTTCCCTCTTTTTTGCCATTTGACATGGCGCTCATCACTGAAAGGTAAAGGTCCTGGGTTCGAATCCAGTGGCCCTGCATTCAAACCCGACATACTTACAAATGTTTTTTTTTGTTTTTTTTTTTTTTCAAAAACCGGCGCCCTGAGGATTTATATGACCTCTGATGTTGCGAACCCTTGTAAAAAAAAGAAAAGAAGCTAAATCATGTATAAGGTTGTTAAATGCTGCAACACACCATTCCCCATAGATTTTCCAATTTATCATTAACACCTACTGCAACTATTTCTGCTTATAGGGTTGTACCAACCCAAAAAAAGAAGAAAAAAAACCAGCCCCATTGTTCAAGTGTCCAAGCGAGATGCCGACGTGCAAATAGTCACCTTTCTGCTCGATGCCTCTCCTAAAGTAGCTTTTTTGGGACATCTACAGACCAGGCTATTCTCATGAAGCCTTTTATAGAACAACCTTACATTTTGGCCTGCTTGGAGTTGACTATCTATCAAGGAAGCCGTTAAATGATGTTTGTGTAGTGTGGTAAGAGCAATAAAATTGTATCTAGCGGTTGTACATCGAGGTCAACCACTACCCTCTCTGCGATCGAGACTTCTTGTAGCACTAAACCGCTATCATCATGGATAGGAGTAAACCAACACACCTCTGTGATACTACGTCTTTACGCCTCAGTCACACGATAGGAAAGAACAAACCCAAATACCAGCGCTAATGCAATTCCATTACCATTAGAGTCCCACACGATTAAAAGACCTATTGCCTACTAAAACCAATAGTTCTATTGTGGATTGAACCACCCACTACGAACATTCTCTCAGAGTAGCATAAAAACTAAACAAAAATCCATTAGCGAATTCATACTTTTCATTACTGTTATAATATTCAAATCAGAAATAGCGGACCAATAATTAAATAAACTAGTAAACAGCGAGAAAACTTGTGTTAATTGTTAAGATATAATATTTTTATTATTACTGATAGACAAAAATTGTTGAATTAATTGTAAAGAGAAATATTGAAATCCTCAAGAAAAACTGTTTAGCCACGCCCATCTGTGTGGTTGTCTGAGCAACAAGTGTTCAGGTTTAAACTGGTCTCACCTCTTTGACTCAGGGCGATGAAAACGAGCAGAAATAACTTTGACATCGTCAAGAGTTTATAAAATTAAAACTAAAACTATGTAAAACTATTTGAATCCACTGAAGCAAAACATAAACAGGCCGAGTTCAAAAACCTAAACAAACCACACCGAGACGGTTATCGAAGGACGTTCATCGATATGTTGTCATAGACATCGATGGTTAGAAAGATTGATCATCATTGATTGCAACCGTCATTCTGACATAACTGACTTAACTTCTGGTAGAAAAGGAAAAAAAAGTCTTCAATCTGAGCATATTACAGAAAGAAAAGTTTACGTTAGCATGAAAGTATTCAGTTATTAAACTATTGCTTTTTTTAATTTTTTATTTTTAAGTTACTGTTTACACTAGAGTTAACATTTTGATCGGCCAACATGGGCTCTCTGGGACCAGAACCCTACTGCGACTTAGCAGCCTGCCACAAAATTGGATACATCTTAAAATGGGTCCTTAATGAGTCCAAAACCTGGTGGACAATACCACAGGTGCGAGGCACGCGAAGAGATTCATAGAAGGACCATCCGCAAACCTTACAAAGAATTTACTAGAAGGCAACTGTAACCGAACCAAGATTCTGGTTGGACTCCTGACAGGACATTGCCACTAAGAAAGCACATGCAACGGATAGGAGTACCGACAGAAGAAACACTGTGCAGATACTGCCAGGAAGAGGAGGAGAGTGCAGAACACATTTTATGTTTCTGTGAAGATAAGGTAAGTGTAGGTTCTTGCAACTAGGACAAGAAAAACCACAAGCAAGATCCTACACTAAGGAGCCGCTGGCAAAGATGTGGAGGTTGGTTAATAACTTGAAGCTGGGCAATGAGTTATAAATAACAGGGAGTCACAATAGTTCTATTCAGGTCGAGGTGCAGTAGGCCTTGTGGCCGCCTCTTTTATCCCTATCCCTAACATTTTGATCTAGCATAGTGACTATTATATTAATCCATTTATGTTTAGTAGTCATAATGGACCATATTAATTATTTCAATTAATTATTCTTTTTATGTAAGGTCTTGGTTGAGATGAAAAAGTTAGTGACATGAGCGGGATTCGAACCCACGATCTTCAGCTGAATATACCGCTGCTCTAACCACTTGAGCTATCGTGACATTGGTACTCTCGGACACTAACTCCCCATCTCAATCTACCACCTAGTTGAAGGTCGTGGATTTGAATCCCGCTCATGACATTAACTTTTTCCTCTCACCCAAGACCTTACATAAAAAGAATAATTAATTGAAATAGCAACTACTGTTTTTCATGTTTAATAATTTAACTTTGTATTTTTCCTTCTCTTTCTATGGGAAGTATTCTGTGTACTAAAGATAACTAGATTAGTGGACATACTCCATTTTAGATTAGCTTATTATTATTGTACGTTGATGGAGAAATATTGAGTCCTCCACCGACTACTAATCAGAATGAGTTCAATGTATTTATTTGTGAGAATGAATTATAGATGTAAGTTTTAGGCTAGGTTATATTTTGTATATGTTGGGTCTGAAAAGAGCCAGCATCCTCCATTCTTGACACTACTATAGATCAACATCTCAGTCCACTAAAGGAAAATCCACAACTACAAAGCCTCTTTTCTGTATGCCTAAACCTCCCCTAAATCCATCATCCCAGTTCACTAATGAGGAACATAACAGAAAAGAAATTATTTATTTACCATAAAGGATATCCTGTCTAAGATTAAAAATAAATGGTTATGGAATTTAAAATGCAAGGCTAAGGCTAAGACAGTCTAAGACATCTTCTATACAGTAAACTATATCTTGAAAAGAATGCACTGAAGGGCTAGATTGTAACTCTGTAGGATGGTTAATAAAATGTCGTGGAGAGAACTTATACCTCAATAAGTACATTGGCAACCAGGAGGTGATTGTGCAACCTGGGATGAGAATATATTTCATTTTATAGCCGTCTGCCTTGCACTAAAATAATTTAACAAAAATACCCTAAATCTTGAGGAGCTGATACAGATTTTAAATGGATCGGGTTGGCAGGAGCCAGTAAAATACTGCAAGAAAGCATCAAATTCAGATACTTCCTCATCACATACTTTAACTATTAAAAGAATCTTGTTTATTATTACCATTCTTTTTTTTCTTTAATTTGGTGTTACATATTATACTTTATGATTTTTTTCTATTTGTAACTGTGCTTTTTTCCTGAATATTATCAAGCAACACAACCTCTCCAATGGTCCAGATGACCAGTATTGCCATTCATCTTTAGTTTTTTTTTAAATATTAATTTTGTATATTATGTTTCTAGTAAAGCTAGTTTTAAGATTATGATAACTCATATTGTTACACACAATAAAGTTTTGAATCAATGGTTTGACCTAGAATGAACTCATAATGAATTATGCCTTTGTAATTCTAAAATACAGAGAGCATTGTCTTTTTGTCGAATTGCTTGTGTTTAGCAACTTGTAGAGCAGGTTGATTGTAGTCTAGCCATTGTTCCTTGGTTGTGGGGTTTCTCCAACATATCCACTTGTCACTGCATTCGTTTGATGAACCGAAGGTCATTTAGGTTTTTCAAAAGATGTTGACAAATTTCTAATTGGCATCGTGCTTGCTCAATGGTCAACTCATCAGATACTGCTCTTAATGAGCGATTCACTTTCATCAAGTTATGAAGTACACAATTTATGTGGATTGGGAAAGGCCAAGCTCTCTTGCCAATTGCCAAGTACTTTCCATTGGGTCTGTCCCGCAGATGCTTCAATGCTGACCCAAGGCACTAGCTGGGGATACCTATCCCGAATCTACCACATCTTTATCCAGGGAGAGGCCAGAGCCACAATTAATAGGCTAATGTAGGGACAGGCACCAATAGCTTACTCACATAACAAGGAGCAACTAAAGCTTTGAGGGGAGCTTCAGGTAGACAGAACTTTGGGGGTGCCTAGTGATGCCGTACCCTTAATTCAGTTTTGACAAAAAATTTCTATTCAAAATACCTTGTAGAGCAGACTGGGAGAAAGGGATCCCAGTTAATGCCGAACGTATCTGGTTTACGGATGGCTCCAAAACCGAATAGGGGCCAGGAGCTGCATTTATGGAAAAAAAAGACTAGAATTCGTATAACCTTGGACAATATGCCACTGTTTTTCAAGCAGAAACTTTGGCCATTGAACACTGTGCCAGGGAGATAAAAAGGCTTGGGATTGTGAATAGAAGAATAGCAGACAGCTGGGCAGTGAAGGCAATTCCCATGTCGACGGTAAAGTCCAGTGTCATTTAGGACTGCATTAGGCAAATGAGGCATGGGGAAAATAACAAAAATTACCCTTGTCTGGGTGCCAGGGCAGGGGCAATGAAGAGGCAGAGATAAATTGGCCAAGGAAAGTTCAAATAGGACACCTATTGACCCTGAAACCTTTTGTGGCTTACCAAATTGCCCAAAAGGCGGATCCATTAGACAATGAGTTAATAATAAGTCCTTCGGTCAATGGTAATGTAGCCTAGGACAGAGGCATGCGAAAAAGTTTATCTAGTTAAAAAGTTTATCGAAAATAATGGCAGAACTACTAAATCTAGGACGTGCTAGGACTAGAATAATAGTTGGACTGCTAACTGGACACAGCAGAATCTGGAGGCATAGGTACAAACTCGGGGTAGCGAGACAAGCCTGTGCAGATACTGCCAACAAGAAGAAACAGCGGAACACATCCTCTGTTGGTGCGAAGGTCTATGTAGGTTGACATTCTTAATCCTGGAAGAGAAAAAGCCAGGGCTTGAAGGATACACACGGGAACACTGGAAAAAGCTTTGGGGTCTGGTAAAGAACCTCAAGCTTAACGAGGAGCTCTACATAAAAAAAATGGAGATAGACAATAGACCTGGTCGCGATTCATAGGTCGTAAAGAGGCCTATATAATCTAATCTAGGTTTTTTTTTTGTAGAGCAGCGGTTATATCAAAGCTCGAGGTGCCGCGGGATTCGAACCCGGGACCTTTACCTAACACTGATGAGCGCGATGTCAACGCCTAACCGTAGCGGCCACCGACGCCCCCAATCTAGGGGGTTTATTTTCAAAAAAATGAAATCGGTCTTTTTTTTATGACTCATCCTGTTATTATGTTATATCGATATTTCTTCCATGGCGCCGCAGATCCATAGAGTAAATTTTACATGTAGTGTCAAGAAAAGGTAAGGCTTTGGATATCGAAGCCAGTCCAATCCGAATCTTTTGGTCGAATATTTGAAAAAAGGCGGTTGGGATATGTGGTGCGACTGGTTCCGCCAGAGGGTGCGCTGATTTTTGGCATTTCTCGCGGAAATCGGAGACTTTATTGATCTCGGTTACCATTGGCGAGGGCGGATTTCACATCCATCCAATAGAAGATTGAACAGTCAAGGGATAGTGAAAATGGCGGCTTTGCCATCTCCTTCGCAGGTGAATACCATTAGAAATTACGTTGATTTTATTAGAAATTTCAATTTGGAAAACCGACCGCGTTTCCGAACGGGTCGGAAACTCTCGACCGACGGGCCGCATCCGGGAAAGCGGAGCGCGATTCCAGGCCCCCGACGGCCCTTCTACGGAGCCCACCGACGGAAAACCCTTTTTCCCGTAGACCGCCTGACAATTTTCCGGACGGCTTTCCGTCGGCGAACCGTGTTCCGACGGTCGTCACCTCTTACGTCCCAGGACCAGCCAGGTCGTAGATTCCCACTGTTTACAATTATCGAAAAATCGGCCGTGTTTCGCCTTTTCATTCTTATCAATACAGGTCTCGACTCACTTTCCGGCTCCCTTTTGGTAGAATAAACTCGATTTTGTTTTACAGTTTTATTTTACTTTCCAATCAGGGCCTTTCTCACCGGAAAACCCTTTCTAACCGTCTAGTCAAAGTATCCATCGAAATTTCGTTTTAAAACGGTTTTCCCGTTTGATCAGCATTTATAAAATATTGACATATCAATCGCCAAAACGCCTCTTCCGCCTTACGTGATATCATTATCGTCCTTATTTTAACTTTAATGATGGTATTCTTAAAATTAACCAATTCCACCTGACTTCTTGACAAATTATTTAAACCATTTCCATAAGAATTTATCCATATAAAACAAACCAATTTATTATTAGTGTTTTCATTGTTAAACCTTTCTCTATTCCACTTGTTTGTCAATGCATTTTTTATTATATTATTTTCATCTTTCAGTTAAATTTCTTGAAACTGTCTCAATTTTTTTTTTGTAATTCAAATGTAGACTTGACAAGATTTCACTTGGTGCCATTTGTCCAAAATGAATAACGACCTATTTAGTAGTTAGCACTACACCCCCCGCCTGTTTGAAATTTCTTATCAACTACTTCTGTAGTGATAAGATGTAGAATGAAAAGCTTTACAAGTGTTAAGATCAAAAAGATTTTGTAATATTTTCTCAATGCGAATTATTTTTTAATTTTTCGTTTAAATTATTGTTGATATAAAAACTGATACAGCAGTAGCTGAGCTGTTAAGGTGTCTGTTGTCGAAATCCAGACATCGCCCGTCAAATTTTAGAATAACGAATTAAGAATAATTTGAAAAATACTGGGTGCATAAGTATTTTCAGTTAAAAAGTAAAATAAAATACATATAAAAAATCGGAACTCGTCTTTTGTTGTTTATTTCAAACCACATATATTTTTATCGTTGTATTAATACTTATTTTGTTGTAAGCCAAATTAAACGAGATCCAAAATTCGTGAATTTTAATAATAGTTCAAATGAAAGTTCACCACAACACTGGAAAATCTAGTGATAGATTAAAATTTAACTAACAATGATTACCTAGTTTAGCTCTTAATACTGTATATTACCTCTTCTGACCTCGCAAAGGGGCTTAAGTTTCGGATGCATCGAGTTAGTGACTGGATTTTGTCTTGTGAAACACAATCCAAGACCGTTTGGAATCTGTTCAACGCTTGTTGGAGGCGGTGAGCAATGTCTAACCCATGTTAATCATGTCCTATAAGTGTTCTTTGGGATTCATGTCAGGAGAACATACAGGCCAATTCATTGTGGTTATCCAATTATTGGGTGACAACTCGAGCTACATGCGGTCGAGCATTATAGTGCATTAGAACAAAGTTGTCCCCAATAAATGAAGTGAATGGGACCACAGCTGCAGAACTTTCTTGAGTACCTTAGTGCAGTTAAAGATCCATTTTATATGATAATCAGTCGGTATGGGCATGGACTCCATAGCATAACTGTCTTTGAAAACGCTATGACTCACCCATGGCACATGAATAAAAGCGTTCTCCATACACTGTCCCAGTCATCTGATTGCCACAAATCAAATAATCTATGAAAGAACAACCCATTGTTCAAGTGTCAAAGCTAGATGCTGATTTGCAAATAGTTGCCTTTCTTCACGATTCTCTTATGTTGTAGAGAACTTTATGGGAGTCGTCTAGAGATTAGGCTATTCTCATGGAGCCTTTTAGAGCTCTCTATTACATTACGGACTGTTGGGAGTTGCTTAAGGAAGCCATCAAATGATAATTATGTAGTGTGATAAGACCAATAAAATTGTCTCTAGCCGTTTTACGAGCCATTCACTACCTTCACTTTGATGGAGACTTCTGGTGGCCCTAAACCGCTGTAGACCACCGCGGCACACCCAAGATTTGGAATATGTAATGGATGTGTTTTCCTCAAATAAATTAAAAACTAATTGTCACAACAATTTCACACAAAACCAATATGACACCACACACACCACAAGAATAGCACCACACTTTATGCCCTGAAGATGACCCGAATAAAGATCAAAATATCGGCCAAAAAAAAAAAAAAAATAATAAAATAAAAATGTGTTTTTATAAAATACTTCATTCTTGACTGTTCCTCATGGCTTAACAAATTACTGAACAACAAGATTACTTAAAAACATTTTTTTAAAATCATCAAAATAAATGTATAATTTAGTAAAAAAAAATAAGAGAACCCCCATTTGCATGTATATATTAAAATAATAATAACTAGAATATGTGTCATAAACTGTCATATATAAAGTAAATGAAAATTAAATAAGTTTATACATATAATTAATTTGTCATAATTACCATTGATTAGACTATATCAATTTTATGATATATTATGCAGTTATATCCTCTTTTGTACAATAAAAAAAAGAAAAGATTTTGAGTAATCTGGTCGTTACCAAGCATTCTGGTCTATCTATTCTTACTTACAACTATATGTACATACATTTATTCAACAATAAAGACAAAAAAATGGTACATATGTTATGTCTGGCATGTAGAGAAAGGTTGCTCGATGTCCCACTTAATTGAAGGGTGCCATTCCTTGGCTGTATATAGAGAACGTATAGGAATAACACCCGATATGTGAATTGTGTTTGAGCATAGCAGCAAGTATCTGGGTCCTCTGTTCCCTTTTTTGGAGGAAACAAGCCTGTTTCTACTGTGTCTTGTGTTTCTTTGTGTATTTATTAGTGTAAGTGTTTAGTGGGAGAGGGCTGATGGCGGAATATTGAGTAGAATGTAATGGTGAAATACCGTCTACCGTCCTGAGTGAGTGGAATGTAAATAAGAAAGAATGCATTTAAAAGTGAGTGGGTTTTGATTGAGACTGATGGCATTGGGGTTGAAAAACTGAAAAACGGCTGGACAGATATGACCAAGATCTTACCCCAGACTGAACTAATGATTCGCGAGGCTGCCAGTGATTTATTGTAAACAACATAAAAACTGGACCTGCTGGTGGGCTATGGGAAGTATTAGGATCAACTCTGCTCATGGGTGTATGGCCCCGTTCCCACTATGCCAGGCCGGTAAAACTGCCGGAAGGGGGGCCAGTGGCTGTACATTTTATATGAAGTTGTTCACATTTAGCCAGATCCGGTAAAAATACCGAGCCCAGCATTTTCGTCGGATGTTTTATCACTGCAGAGCGCCGGCAAAATGCCCGGACTGGCGTAATGTGAACAAGCTCTGCACTGCTGTAGCATATTCAGCAAGTAGCTCAGCATGTTTGGAAGGGGTATAGAAACCCAGGAATGTCGGGTCGTTTTGGCGTTCGCATTCTGTAGGTCATACGCATGCACGTGAATATCATGGAATCAAATGCAGAAACTTTAATTTCACTGGTCCAAGAGAGACCTGTACTGTGGGATAAAACCCTAGGTGAATACAAACTGCTGTCATTCAAAAATAATTGACGAACTTTATTTCGTCACTTCTCAGTTCACCCATTAATGTTTCAAATGTTCTTAGTGAAAATCTTTCCCGTAAAATAGGATGTACTCAATGTTTTCTTTTCACTTTATCGTCTAAAATACTACCACAACAACAATTTCGTCGTTCATCGTGCACTCAGTTCTGACCTCGACTGAGAACTTGAGTCTCCGTTTTCTTGCCAAATCCGGTCTAATACGAACGCCTTTGGATGGGCGCCGGTCCGGCATAGTGGGAATGAGGCCTATGTCTTTGAGTTATTTAAAACATAAACGAAGACAAAATCAAAACTACTAGACTCACTGAACATAGTGAAATGCCAAAACGCATCTGACAGACTAATACAGCGAGGATAGGTAGATTTGGATGATAGGTAGTGACCAAATTACAGGTTCATGCACTGTGCAGACCACAGGAAGAAATTTCATTTATTTTGAGTGTTCGCTTTCTTTTTTATCATTGATTTTATTTATATATTATATGTTTCTTTCCTTATTTTCATAGCAGCTTATGTATTCATATCTACTATTATTCATGCAAATTAAGCATGTTGTTATTTATTATGATATTAACAGGATATATCTTTTTATGTGCATTTGTGTTTCTAATACAGATATTAGTCGGGAATTTGTCTTTCTTTTTATGCAACGATTATTGCTATATAACTAATTTTAATTTGCCCAATTTTTTATGCAATCTTCTTTGGTTTATTTAATTTATTCAAATACAAATGTGCAATAGATTAAGTATTTAATAAATAATAACGTGATTAATATAATAATTTAACCCCTATCACACATCCTGTCACACATTTTGGTTTTTTGTCCTTTTTTTACCATTTTGAAATGAATATTTTTCAATATTTCACATATTAAAATGATAATAATAACAACATAATAGATAATTTTATTTCTTCATTATTTTTTGGCCATTTTTGAAGCCGGGAAAAAAAAATAACTACTTAATTTTACTACAAAATTTCAGCATCATGTGTTGTCCAAAATGCATATTAACTGTATAATTCTTCCGTTGTCATTTTTTGTTTTTCCGATCATCATTAAAAAATAACCCTTATCATTACAATGACGAATGGATATAATTTTGTGTATTTAAGATTTTTCAATCGAACATTGGTATGAAATGTTTGGATCCCCCCTCAATTTTCCCTACAAAATGATTCAAGTGTGTTATTAAAATTGAAAAACTACAATAAAATTGTCAATTAAGATAACATGAGGGTGCAGTTTTTAACAATTTCTAGTTAAATTATTTATTGAAAAATGGTTTTTCGTTTACAAAATATACTTGTTTACCTATCAGTTAATTTAATAAACCTTGTGTTTTTATCTCAAGTACCAAGTAAATAATTTTTTTTTTAAAGAAAACTACTTAATATCATATATATTTTTTAAAATATTGATTTATGATCTAACAATATTACATTTATTTCAACTAAAGAAAACATTTTTAAAATTGCTTTTTAATTGTCCTCGCTGGTTTAATTTTTAGTTTTATTTAATTATTATTTTTAGGGTACAGTGGTGGCCGAATGGTTAGGGCGTCCAACTCATATTTGCCATGCTAGCAGTTTCACAGTGTTTTTATTTTTAATTTAATTTTTTAATTTATTTAAAATTAAAAAAATTTAATTCATAACAGTATTAAAAATGTTGACCCATTGTCCACGACACCCAAAAAGTTGGACATTAAGCCCTCCAGTATGACAGGAATTATTATTTTTTCCTTTGTCATTGTAAAGTAAATTCATTGAATAATTTTTAAAGTGTAATTTAATATCCTTTTAGTATAGCATGAGTTTTCTAAATACTAAATTAGAGATTTGCATTAATCAACTGTTTCCATTATCTTTTGGTGTTTTTATGTCGTGTTTTCCCCTTGATATATTGGCACTTAAACAATTGTAATGATCTAATAAAAGACAAAGCCGTGGCTAATAAAATTTTAAAAAAATCTAATCTGTTTTTGTTTTTTTTAATTTTTCCATCTAGGTCGCAGGGAGTCACGCTGGTTTGTACGAAGTATATTTTGCCTCTGTTGAAAGACAAGGAACTGTACCAGCTGTAGAAGCTGCAAAATTTTTAAAGAAATCAGAATTGCCAGATTCACTTTTAAGTACTGTAAGTATTTATTATGTCATTACATTCTATAAGATTGACAATTTAATCAATTAATTTAATTTTAATTAGGTAATTAATTGTAATGCTGCATATATTATTAAAATTAACTAATCTCTTAGTACTCTCTCAACTAACCTCAAAAGTTCACGCAGTTTTTCATTTGTTATTGTTTTAATGCCATTTAATAACATTTCTATATTTACATCAGAGGAATAGGTGTTTACATAACATAATACTGAGAGGATAATGCATCAGCTCTAAAAAAAAAGTCTTGAACAGTTCACTGTAAAATATAAAATATTTTCTTTCTCATGTCTTTAAAACCCATGATTTATGTGTGCTTAATAAGCACTTACAAATTATGGGTTTGGAAGCCATGAGGAAAAAATAAATAAATAAATAAATAAAATTTATGTGAACTATTGAAGATACTTTTTCTTGATGAATTGACTTGACGCATTATCCTTTTTGGTATTACATGATGTAAACACCTACTCCTCCTATGAAAATAGAAATGTTGATCAATGGTATTAAAACAATAACGAATGCAAAACCACATGAACTTTTCTGGTTACCTGGCAAGATCATGAATGTCTATATTTATTTATAATTAATTTTCTAAACTATAAAATTTTTATTGTAATGTATATAATCTAAATAAAAACTTTTTTCTTCTTCAATCTGTTTCTATGCTCAACAAAAGTCTGGTGTATGTGGTAATGTTTTAGGCTGTTCTCTAGTTTAAACAGGTTTAACTTATTTACTTCTTCAAGGAAATCTATGAGTGAATTTAAAAAAAAAAATCTATCAGATTTGACCACTGCTTCTTGATATAAGAATTATTTTGTAATTGTTCTCTATACAAACCACACCTACAGATTAACACCTCTTGAAAAATTTGTAATAAATATTTTATTTTTAAGCAAAACAGACCAATAACTATTTATTAATTAATTTGCTCAGTTTCTTCATATCAATTGTTTGAGATTAACAATTCATAAGGGCTTTTAAATTAATCACTTCAACATAAAATTGTGATGGGGTTAAACACTTTATTTAAACTTTCTCCTTTTGTATCCTGGGCATTAATAATAAATCTGTACTTTTTTATGGGTTGTACTAGTATAGAAAAGATCACTGTGTAGATGTAATGAAATTTAATTAGAATATTCTGCTGCCCTTAGTATGAGTTTTTTTTTACTGAACAAAAAGGTAATTGGTTTACTATAGACTAAATAATATAAAAATACATTTTTTTTTTAGATATGGGATCTCTCTGATCCAAACGCCAAGGGTTTTCTTACTAAGTCTGGTTTTTTTACTGCCTTAAAACTAGTCTCATTGGCACAGTTAGGTCATGAAGTTTCAATTGCTAATTTGATGATGGATGTACCACCACCAAAGTTGGTAGGTTATAGTATTTTTGTACTGTAAATTCATATACATTTCATACTAATTCCATACTAAGATTGTCATCTTCATCACAAGTAGATTATGTTGTATTTGTATGTTCTCATCTATTACCAAATTTACGGTAATATTAAGATGTGAGATTGTGATATGTTGGCTGTGTCAAACTTTCTGATCACTAAATTATTTTTATGTTTCGTTTAATGTAAACTTGTCATGGATTTTAGGTGGGAATGGCACCTCCTAGACCTCCATCTCAGCCGACAATAAACTCAGTTCCAGCTGCTGTTAATGACTGGAAAATGACACCAGCAGAGAGGCTGAAGTATGAAACACTTTTTAATTCACTTCATCCTTTGAATGGAGTCATACCTGGAAGCAAAGTACGTTAAATGATTGTATAATGTTACATTTAAAAAGACTAATTCAAAATAATAAATATGGTTGTATTTTGGATGGGGTAAAATGTTAACGTAATAACTAGAGCTGGATTTATATGCAATAAAAATCCTTAAATACGTCATAATGTACACTAATAAAACCTCAAATGTGCACTAACTTTAAAATACACGCAGCATGTAGCAGGGACAGAGAAATACCCAACTAACTATTAACTAATTTTTTTTTAACCTAGACATAGTTTTTCTCTTTGATCTAGTACTTATTCATTTTGAAAGAAAATAGGACAGAAGAATTAAAAAAAAAAAAATTAAATATTATACAAAAAACTTACGTTCATAATTAAATTGAATTAAAATTGACAATGAGATACATTTCAAAGCTAGTTTCTGTAAAAATACAGTGCTGTATCACTCAAAAAATATTTTTGTACCTTGAAAAAGATTTTTCAGCTTTGACAGAGGTGATAGGACCATACTTGTAGGAACTTGGAATAACTGGGTCATTTACTCCCTGCATAACTTCATTTTTTAAATTTAAGATTTCATTAATTTTCTCCAGTTCAGTCAATCTGGAATTTTTGCAAAGGATTTTTTTAAATTTCTATTATATTAGGATTCCTGCATTGCAAGGGATTTTACTAATTTCTGTTTTATATTGAAAGGAAAAATCCAACCTGCTATTTTAGTAGAAGTTAAGTTGTCGCTTTTGGCCCTTTTTTTGGTTTACTAGGTTGAATGTATGGAAGAGGACTGAGACTGACTATTTTTATGTTTCAAATGAGGCCCTCTTTTCCACAACCAGACTTTTTCAGAAAAAGTAATTTTTCAGAAAAGGCAGAAAACTGCACCTAGAAGTTTGTTTTTACTCCTGAATTAACTAAAATCCAAATCAAATTTTATGCTCTTGGTTTTTCCTCTCATGTTCTTGCCTAATTTATTTTTAATTTTTAAAGTAATCAAAAACGTTTCAAATTTGTAATATTCCTCAAATGTGCAAAATTATACTGAATAAAATTTGAACCATACCACAAAGGTTGAGATCTGATCACCATGTTCATAAGTGTTAGCAAAAAGAATATGCAAATGCATACAAATCTGGGCTCTCATAATAACAAAAATGTGTAATTTGGTCATAACCGATCATTTTGGTCTGCCTATCCTAGCTGGGTTGGTCTTTCAGACCTGTTTTGGCATTTCACCATCTTTGGTGTGTAAGTAGTTGTTTTTGTTTTGGAAACTGCAAAAGTTTATAAATTTATGTATATATAATTGTTGTTCAATAAATGAACGGTTTTTCTTGGTAATAATTTAGCTGATAAATTTTTATGCTTATGATCGTAATTAGTTTGATTTAATTTATTCCAGGTAAAAGGCCTTTTAAGTGACTCCAAATTACCAATTCGAACTTTAGGAAAAATTTGGGATCTTGCTGATATGGATAAAGATGGTAGTTTAGATAGACATGAGTTTACGGTGGTAAGTACTCTGGCAATTTAATATTTAGGTTTTTTTTATACTTTAATCTACACTTTTATGAGCTGTTTTATGTTTCAACTTGCTATTCAAATTTTTCGTTGACATAATGTGCTTTAAGAACAGCTGGTCTCTTAACCTTTTCGGGATTGATTTTGGATGCTAAAATGCGTTTCTCTGCTTATATTCTTGACCACTATATGATGCATATTATTAAAATAAATAATAAAATCTGAACATCAGTAAAAAAATTAAAATTATTTACAAATTCACTAATTATTTCCATATTTACTGTTAATTAACAATTATTTATAAAATTATATCCAAATACATACATATTTACACATATATTACTACATATATGTTAATAAAAAAACAAAAAAAGAAGAAAATAAGGCAGCAAAAGGCCAAAAAGATAAGCAAAGAAATTTCTTTGACGTGCTGTCTTTGATACCTTCAAATAAAAGTATTTTTGAGAAAGAAAATTTACCTTCAAGAGAAATGTATTTCACAACAATATGATAAAAAATATATATAATTTAATATTGTAATATAAATTGATCCTCTCCTTACATTATTAGGATTGAATATTTATTTGTTTTTAGGCGATGCATTTAGTGTACAAAGCTTTAGAAAACTATACAATACCAAATAGCTTACCACCTGAATTATTGCCTCCTGAGAAATTAAACAACTCAGTTCCAGCAATGGTACCACAGGCAACTCCTATCGCACCTGTTGTCACTCAAACGCCGATGGTTAATGTAAGTCGATTTATTAAATAGATTTTTTTTTAATGTAATGACAATTCACGGTATTTTATTTTTTATTTTTTTTCAAAGGGTGGGTCTACATGGGTAGTCAGCAGGGAAGAAAAGGCTAAATATGACAATTTATTTTTTCTCACTGATGTCGATAAAGATGGTTTTGTTTCTGGAAATGAAATTAAAGATGTCTTCCTTAAATCTGGCATCCCACAAAGTGTTCTTGCTGATATTTGGTAAATAACAGTAATATTAACAATGCGGTATATATTCATTTTTTGTAATTTAAAAACAAATAACTGTATTTATTTATTTTTTATATATAGGGGTTTGTGTGATATGAAGCAATCTGGTAAACTGAATAGTGAGCAGTTTGCACTAGCAATGTGGCTTATTAATAAAAAATTGAAGGGAATCGATCCACCATCATCACTTAGCCCTGATATGATACCTCCTTCGATGAGGCAGACTCCGAGTGTAAGTATTTTGTTGCTGAATTATGCACTTCATATTAATCAGTAGTGATTACTTTAATTTAATGATTTTTCTCAATTTATTGCATAAATAGCTTTTGTAAATTTTTTTCTCTCCTCGTCATGATTGGTTCACATAGTATAAATAACGAGACAAAAGTCAAGTTATAATGAAACTAATGGTTTGTCCTACCTTCCCTTTACTAGGAATCTGTTGTCCCTTCTAATCCTGAATTAGATATGATATCTCAAGATATTGAGGAACTTGTGAAAGAACGATATAATTTAGAGAGGGAAATAATGATGAAGGAATCAGAAATCAAAATTAAATCTGGTGAAGCCGTGTCATTACAGGTATGAAATAATATCAGTGTAAAAAAACGGGGAATTCATTCCTGAACATTTCTAGGGAGAGTTAGATACGTTGGCAGCAACCCTCAAGCAATTAGATAATCAAAAAGGTGAGGCAGGGAGGAGGTTAAATGATTTGAAGAATCAGGTAATTTCCTAAGCCATTATTATTATTTATTTTTAATATTAATCGTATTTATTATTATTTTTTAAATTGTAATCAGGTTGAGAAATTGAAAAAGGATGCAGAAGAGCAGGAAGTTCTCGTGAAACAACAAGAGGAAGAACTAACAAGCAAAAAGAAAGAATTAGAAAATCTAAAAGCTGAGGAAATTAGGTTAAGCAATTTACAAACTGATCTAAATTCAAAGTTAGATTCATTGTCAGCTCAACTACAAAAGTCACAATTAACAATAAGCCAGGTATTTTTTTTTCTCCTAAATAGTGTTGTTTTTGTTTTCCCCTGTAACCGTGAAGTCACTGTTCTTGCCGATGGAGTTCTGCCATCGGCCTTATCATTAATCACAGACACCATAATTTTAATTATTTACTAATTTCACATTACAAATAACACATATATATATATTTTACTATACATACATAACACACATATACATCTACAAGTACACACAGTATATATGATTATATATGTGAGGAAATTCCCCCTTATTTCATTTAAGAACCAGAACAGGGGATCCACTATTGGCCGCCCGTCCAAGTACCATCATTATGTGAGGGGGTCATGCCTACTCTCTCACCCTCTCTTTCTCTCTCTCTCTGTAAAGGATCTCTCACTCTTTGATCGAACGTGATACACTGAGCAACCTTTCTCTACAAACAGGACACCTGCACGGGAAAATATTTAGTTATAACTGTGTTGATTGAATTAATAAAATAAAATGTTAAAAAGTGAACACAAGGGCAAGTTGTTTAGTGAATCCCTTATCTTTTGAAATGGATGTAGCTTAAAAATGCAGTTGTATAGTTTATTTATTACCAAGTGTGAAAACCAGAAATTTTATTTTATTTTTATTTTCCTTTTAGGCGATGATGGTCAATTTTATTTAGATGGATCAATAACTATTCATATTCCAAAACAATACTTTCTATTGTAATTTATTTGGGGTTATTTCAAGTACGAGGTTATATGAACCCTCGTAGGTTTTTTTTTTTTTTTTTTTTTTTTTTTTTAATAAATAAATAAATACATAAATAAGATATAAAAAAAGCCTGCTTGTAAGTAGTCGGGTTTGGATCTCTTAAGTATATATTTTAAGGTGATTAGGATGTTTGAGGGTGGGATTTTGTATGCAACATTTAAAAATGAAATCCCTCTGTAATTTTTGCCGACTCCCTTTATCTTCTTTTCCTTTGTTTAATGGATATTTCTTTTTTTCTTCCTTTTTTTTTTTTTTTAAATTTGCTGATTATTCCATACTTTCCCGGAGCTTTATTAGTTTTTAGTCATTGGATTGCTTTCCAAATTTCACCGGGACCTTTAGCTTAGAGTGATGAGTATTGTGCCAATGTCAACCAATGTGGCCACCACCGCCTTTTTTTTTTTTTTTTTTTAATAAAATATGTTAAATCATAATTAGCCTTTGTTAATAATGTTTCATAATTTTCAGGCTAAAACAAAAATGACTGACATAATTGAATTCCAAAAACAGTTAAAAGAGGCGATAGACGTATTAGAAAAAGCATTAGAGACATCAGATATTTCTGTTCCTAATAGGTATTTAGAATTGGAACCTGATTTTAGGTATCCTGCTTACACTAGACTGATTAATCCAAGCGAGGTAAATAAATTACATATTACAAAATATGAATTAAACTTAAAGAATCTTATTTGTAAATGTATTTTTTTTAAAATCAATTTTCAGACTGAAGAAATCAAACCGGTATCCCAAACTACTGCCAGTTTAACAAATGGCACTCGGACAGACTCATTTTCAGAATCTGCATTTAAAGACGGTACATATATTTTTTATTTTTTAAATAAATTATTGGAAAAAATCATGATAAAAATATTATTTTTAGATCCATTCACATCAAACAACTCCTTCCAAGCCACATTTCCTGATCAACCATCAAAGGTGATTATTTTGCCATTATTATTTAGCTATAATGTTACATGCAATACTTTTTCTCATGTAATAAAAATAGCAATAAAAATGTATATATATATTTTTTGCAAATGGAAAGTGCATAACTTTTTTCTATTAGCATTTGATACTTCCCGATTCAGTTAATGTTATAACAAAATTAAAATAAACCTTTTTTTTAATTGATTATGGATACCAGGAACTGGAGGAGTTCCCCTGAACACTGCACCTTTACAGCTTATTGTATTCCTTCCTGGTTCCATTTTGGGAGCTCACAACACGTGTAAATTGAGACCCCAGTGTGCCAGTGTTTGTCTATTGAAGAAACTAATTTTTGAAAGGGGTCAGGATTGAATTTAGGGTCTCTTGAGACCCAATCCTGCCGGACGTTCTATTGATGAGTGCCATGCCAACTTTGTCACTGCCCCCTCATGCATCAGAAAAATCCAGAGGTGATAGTGGGAATTGAACCCATGATCTACTAGCTGAGAGTCTGATACCCACGAACACTCGGCTACCGCGGCCCACAGCTATAGTTTGAAAAAGCCCAACTGTGATTACAAATAATTTATCCATGACCGACCTACCAGTATTTCTAAATGTAACTATCATTTAAAAGGAAGTTGACAGTGTGATTGCAGTTCAATATAATTCTATCAAAACCTGTACTATATTTGTGAGTACATAGTAAACTGTGAAATTATGGAAGCTCACTGTGTTCATCAATATCATGAATCAATTTCATTGAAGATTTGCAGATTTAGTTATTTGATTTATGTTTCAGATGTCATTTGGAAATGATCCATTCAGTTCTTTTGGCTCTTCTGTGATGAGTACAGGTGATTTGAATTAGACCAGTTAACAATTATTCATTTCTAAATGAAAAATAATACACTCATAAAAAAAATTTCAGGTACCAAAAATGACCCTTTTGATCCTTTTGGAGGCAGTACTGCTCCACATTCCACAGTAAAAAATACGGAGGATGTAAGTTGGGCCAATGATGTATTTTATTAAAATTGTTTTAGTTATAAGTTTGATCCTCCTTTATCATATCGATCAGTGAGATTGACATATGATGAGGGAAAATCAAACTTCACAATTGAATAAACTCCACTGAACACTTCACAAAGCTTTTTATAACTAACTCTTATTTGTTTGCATGGCAGACAAATCAAGATGCCTTTGGATGCGAACCATTTGCAGCTCCAGCTTTGCCACCAAAGAATAAACAACCTCCTCCTAGACCAGCTCCACCTAGGCCTTCAGCACCACCAGCACACATCACAGCAACACCTGGAAACGACTCATTTGCTGACTTCTCGAATTTCAATAACAAGGTCAGGTCCTTGGGTTAATTATCGTTTTTGATGTTAACAATTATAAAAGTATACAGAAATTTAGTTCAAAATATCAAGAGTTTATTACATATTTTATATCATGACCAAGCAGTTGAGAAGGATTTAAATGAATCAAGTAATTATAATTATGATTTACTTAACATTATTTATAGGTGACTTATACAAAAATCACCATTTAATAAGCAAAGACAAATTTCAAGATGCAAGTAGTTTTTTTTTATTGTTTTGATTTTGTACACTTTTTAAACTTGAGTTCTAAATTCTTTTAACACCTTTTTTTTAAATAATTTTCTTTTTTAAATTTTTTGTTCTGTTTTTGATTGATGAGATTTTAACATGTTGAATGCGGGAGCCTGAAATGCTGCCAACTGTTCGGGGGTGGCAATTTTTATTTTATTATTTTTGTTTATTAATTTTTTGTATAAATGACCTCTTAATAATTTAAAAAAAAATTTTTTTAAATAAATTTTATCTTTCCTCTAAATTATCATTTCCAAGTGGGTCTAATATGAATTTTTCATTTATTTATTTATTTTTTTTTTAATTTGTTTTTATTTTTAATTTTCTTTTATAATGCGGCTATTTTGACAATTTTTTTAATTGTTATTTTTTGAGGTAGTAAGGTTGAAATTTCATTTAAAAAAAAATTAAAATTAATAATTTTCTATGAATATATTTGAAATATTTTTATAAAATTAATTTGAACTGTTTACGAACTAGTATTTACTAAAACTATTTACAAACTAATTAATATAAATTATTTTAAAAAATATTGATACAAATTATTATTTACACATACATATTTGATTTATAAAAATTATACATTTACATAAAAATATTACAAATTTTTTCAGTTGAGTTGAAGTCACAGTCCAATTTTTCTGTATGCATTGCTACAACTTGGGCAGTAGAATCATGTCCTTACTTTTTTACCTTACCTTCCTCTTACCTTTTTACCTTTAGCTACTTTTGCTACAATATTTTAACTTAATGTTTAAAAAGTAAAAAAAAAAAAAAAATCTATGCCAGTTTTCTCAGTTGACAAAGGGTCTATATACAGAAAAGGCCTACGTTTGAAAGCTATTTTCATACTGAAACTAAAAATTGCTTCAAATTGGGTATCCACAAAGCTGGGGAGAAATAATAGCCCATAGAAAATGAACTGTCCGAAAAGTGAATTTGGGTCTCAAATGAGACTAACCACCCTGTGTGTGTTAATAGACCCTCTAAAAGAAATAGTTAATGCTGTGTTGATATAAACAAACAAAAAGAAAACAGTTGATTAATCTTTAACATTAATTTAAAAAAAAAAGGTCAGTGTTTAAACAAATTTCTGTATACTTTTCACTATTTGCGACATAATAATTCTAACTTACTAACATTCTTTTTTCCTCATCCCTCTCCTTTCTTTTGTTTTCCCCTGTTTTATTTGCTTACATAATTTTAACAGCCTTAGTTTATTATTTTTATTCCCAAACCCTTTTTATTTTTAGTTTACTATGATTATACAGGATAACAATAACTCAGACCTCACGTTGGACTTCAAGGAGGATCCATTCAAAGATTACAGATATGAGGTTACTGGGGACCCGTTTGAGAATGATAATCTATTTGACATAGCCAAGTGTGACAATTTTGCGTTTACCAAAAATGATCCATTTGCACCTTCGAAGGATCAAAAGAACCCCTTAAATGGGAAATTCAAAAGCTGTGAAGAACTGCTAAACGATAATCAAATTGCTAACAATGCTAATGTAGATTCCCATTCCAACCTAGTTAAAGAAACAAAATGTGATAGCCTTCCTAGTCTGCTGACATGATTTATATTTCTTGTTTCTTATTTATTCTTTTCTTCATCCACATTAGTTTTTTTTTTATGTTTTTCAGACATAATTATTTAATTTCATGGTAATTCAACTATGAAGGCACACATTGTGCTTCCCAACAATTGAAAAGGTACACAAATATAATATAATATATAAATATGTTTACATAACGTTTCTATTGTATGAAAAGTAAATGAAAAAATAAAAGTTGCGCACAGTATTAAATTTACATACACAACTGCACACCGCATAATGAGTATGTAATGTAATTGTATACAATATTTATTATATTTAAGACATTTGGTGTGTTAATTGCCTTTAAATAAAAGTTATTAAAAAAATAATAAAAAATAAAAACTACAGTATTGAATAAAACTAATTTTTGAAATAACTTTTGTAAAAATAAAAGCAGTTGTGTTCCCTATGAAAAAAAAAAAATATATATATAAAACAAAAACATGTATATATTAAATTTAAATAACCCTAAAAACCAGTTTTTAGTAAAGCGGCTTATAGAACTGAACACATAAACATGTAAATATTACATATTATGTGGGTAACATTTCTTTTGGAATCTTATTTTTATGAGAGAATGAATACTGAAGACAATATGGTTTAGTATTTCTAGAATGTTAGTATATTTCAACCAAATATATAATTGTATGCCAATTTGCAATATCACTATATTTTATCATAAACATTATTCTTTAAAATATATTTAACTTACGAGTTTGTCATAACTTTTGTCATAATAATTATGATGCAAGTTAACCAAATGTATCAAGGTCTTTTTATCTTTGTTTCAAATTATAATATATAGCAGATAATTTCACTGCATTTTAATAAAAAATTCAATGCAGTTGTTACAAAAAAAAAAAAAGAAAAAAAAAATGTTTATAACTTTGATTATGAATGCTGTGTTTTAACAGAAACTTAAATGTATATAAAAGAAGCAAAAAATTGGAAATTGCTAAATTAGCAATTATGGATTTTTGCTCATATTAATTAAGTTTAACTAGTTAGTATATTGCAATCACCATCAAATTGCGCAATGCATTGTAAATATGTAAATAATTGGCGTAATATATAGTAACAATTACCAGTGACGTCATTCCTCTATTAGTATTGCCTTGTTAATTTATAAAAAATACAATCATTATTAAATGTGTAAGCACGTTGTTATTGTTGTAAACAAGGGTTATTCTCTTTTTGTAGTTAAATACATCACAATTTGTATAACATACATTTTAGAGAAAATTAGTTTAATTTATTTAAAAAAAAATTAATAATAAAATATTTTCACAAGAAGAAATTCACCCACATAATTAATTGTGTAAGTCTACTATTGCAAAATGCATTAAACACAAGTATAAGAAGCTTTAATAAAACAGGTTTTTGAAAAATTGACAATATTTAAAATTTACTATATATTTTAATAAACTAATTAGTTGTTCGAGCATTTATGTTGGCAAGTGTAAAAATTTTACACTTATTAATCATTTTTATCTTAATTATTGAATTATATTATGCTGATGAATACATTTCATCGAAAATGGGAATAGTTTGATCTTAAAAAAATAAATTGAAATTGAACTGAGCATACACCTAACATGCAAATGTTATATATAATTTTTAAAGCTACTCAATGATTTGGATTCGGGGTCATTAAGGCTGAGAATAGATAGAAGGTAAAGTAATTGAAATAAAATTAGTTGTTTATTGTAGATTTAATAAATTTACAAGTGTTTAAGTTGTGAAAATTGACCAAAATATTACCAAAAATAGGAATATAGAAAAGTTCACAGAAAATAATGCAACATTAGTGCATATTTATTTGAATTCTTTTTTTAATTTATATTTTAAAAATTACCATGGTTAATATATATTTCACTGGTCTACTACATCGATTCCTTTGATTTAATACATTTAATTTCGTTTTAAGGGTACAATTGAGAATTAAGTGTTGTTTAAAAAAAAAAATATATATACAACATTTATAGTTGTGTTTATGATCTGGGTTTTGCTGAGAAGAGGGTAGTACTGTAAATCTCTTGTCTTGTTAAAATTCCAATAGCTCCTTTTTGTTTTGCCTTAGAAATATTTTTAAAAAAAGTGTAAACATGTAAACACAGAGATGATACATTCACAAACTGTATTTGAATCATAACTTCATCTTTTGAAATGTTGATATTTTGTTTACAAAACTGAAAGGTGATTAATATTAGATGTATTATAAGTAATTTGTACGGTTGGTAAAAAGTGTTTTTAGGGTCGAAGGACTACATTCTTATATCTAATTGATACCTTAAGGGCTTTCTGGGTTACAATAATGAAGTAATTGTATATTATTGTTTAATTTTTACATTTACAGGGATGTACCTTAAAGCGAACTTTTGCATGTGCTACATAACGTTTTTTCCACTATACAAAAGCAGTTTTGGTGCCTTAATTTTGAATGCCTGGCTATGTTCTGTGTTTACAACTTGTTACTGTTGTTCCACAGAACTTCCAAGATGTTAACTGTTATTAACTATTTGCAATGATAACTATTTTGCATGCCTAAGGTATAAATTGTTATTAGTTGACATAAAATTATAATTAATCTTATTCTGAATTGTACTTTTAAGGTTAGGTCAGGTATAAATATGTGCATTGCAATGCAGAACTACTTAATAATGTCTGATTTGCTTTTTTTTATGAGAATACATTTGCAGTACTCAAAAGTATGTTGTTCAAAGGCACTAAAATCAGTCTGTTACAAGCACTTAATTTAAAAAAATGAGGAAAACAACTCTAGTGGTGTGTAAGACTAAAAATAAGGGAACAACAGAACGCTGCAGAGCAAATTTACATAATATATTTGATAAGCGATATATGTATGTATATGTTGATTAATTATCATATCAAGGATTTAAAATTTAAGTTCTGTATAAGTGTATATAATTGTACATTTATATATTTTTGGTTTTTTAATTGTTTTTTTTTTTTTTAAATATATATTATATGCTCAAGGTGTTAGTTTTTTGTTTTCTTAAAGGCAATAACTAATTACAGCTCTGTACAACGACTAGAAATAGTAATAAATGCGTCTATGAACACCGAAACCTTAATAGCAAGGAAGAGTTGTAATTGGAAATCTTGTAGTACTTTTACTTTCTAAATTACAACAATAGAATAGTTTGGTTTACGATTATGACCCTAATTTCTTTCTACTGATTTATTTTTGCCATACTTTTATGGACGTTGTATATAAATAATATGTATATGTGTGTAGATATGGGTATAATTGTATATTTTAGTATTCTAAGTTATGCTTCCTTGTTTTTGTATCAAACATTCCAGCGACTATTACTAAATATGGCGTGTGTATTACTTTCCCTTTGAAATTGTACACAAATTCATAAATACTAGTCTTATTGTGTTGTTAATTAAAATATATATTTTTTGTTGCAAGTAGATTTTATTCACTATGGGAAACATATCTAACAAATAAAAACATGATGTAAATCTTTTTACCCTCATGTGTATATTGCTGTGTACATCATTCATTCGTTCTTTACAGTTGCACTGTTATTCATCGATTGTTATAATGTTTTCCATCAAAATGTGCACTGTTCCACTCTGATTATAAATGTATAAGTGTGGATGTATCAATATGGTGTCATAGCTGTATATGAAATATACATGTTTAATATGTTAAATATATGAAATGTTTATATTATTAAATTAATGTGCTCTGTTGTTGTTATTTATATTATTTTAATTCAATAAACACACATTTTTAAAGGGATCATAGTTAATTTTCAAGATAGGCATTGCCTTTCAAACAAAGCATTAACATTAACTTTTATTTAGTTAAAACTAACACATAACAAGACAAGTGAGCGACAACAACAGTCAATAAAATAAGTGCATAAGTCTTAACAGATTTTAAAATGAAACTGCAATTTATCCTTGAGATATCAATCATTTGCCAATGCGATAAATCTGTGTGCTAATTATTTATTGATTATGTTTCTAACGAATATAATTGTTTTAACATTTGCTTGTTCGTTGTAAAGATTTTTTCCTTTGTTTTTAATATGTTTTCTGGGAAAATACATATACATGAAGTTCTGTTTCACAGTTTTTGTTTACTCACCATTGAATCTTTATAAAATTGTGGTCAGTTCATTATTCTGCTTCTTGTCTCTATTTTAACTCGTATTAAAACGGGTTTAAAAAACTGCATTGAGAATTTGAAATTTTCTCTGTGAGAACTTACTTCTAGGGCCATGTCATGGGATAGAAGTCTTAATCCTGTTAGTGAGTTTTGAATTACAGATTATTACAGCGAGCAAGCCCTGAGTCAGGGGGTTTCCCATGCTAGACATCAGGTGGTCAGTTTCACCATATATATATTTTTTTTTTTTTAACTTTTTTATTTTGGATGACATCGCAATCCACTCCTCACATTTTGACCCTATCCTTGGAGCAAAAGCAACCCAAGACTACCTACCTAGACCTCATTACCAACTGTTGTACTCAGTGGCACATCGAGCTAAACAAACAAAAGAGCTGACACGTGACAAATACATTTAAGCTCATGCCCACCAGTATAGTAAGGTACACCATACAGTGAGGTAATCCTTCCATCGAACCAAATTTGCTACCTTGGGTTCTTCTTGGACAGCAAATATGGAACACACATAAAACAAAAAGTCAGCTCAACCGAAGATAAAAACAACTGAGACGCCTACTTGCATCCAAATCCACAGTGAGTATACACAATAAATTAACAATATATAATTAGACCGATTTGAACTGATGGAGTCAAGCTGTGGGGTGGGGGTTCAGCCAAGCCGTCCGACATCCAAAGAATCCAATCCTTTCAAGCAAAAGTCCTCAGTCGCATCCTCAATACTCCGACAACACTAACCAAACCATCCACAAAGACCTAGACATTTTTTTCGTAATGAACGTGATACAAACACGCTTACACTCCAAGCTCTCCTTCCACACCAATCTTAAGCTGGTGTCCTTGTGACCTAAACTAATCAACGAACATTGAAACATAACCCTAAACATTGAGAGTTGGATCAATGGCTGGCTCCTCTCCCCATCCCTGTGTTCTGACAGGTTCCTGCCAGATCTTTTATTTTTCATAGTTCCTTGAGGTGATTGAAAACAACGGTTATATTGAAAAAGCTAACTGTATTTTTGTATTGACAGTCATTCAAATAAAGACTAAAGTATACCACAACAGTTCTATAATGGAAAACAGTCCAGCATGATAATGCTAACCACAAACTGAACTTGATTGGAAAGTTGGATTAATTCTGGTCTATGGCTCATGTTTTACTAGGACAAACATTCAAGAATTAAGAAAAAGCTGGTTCAATTTTTTCACTTTTGAGTAATAATTGCAGTAACATAATTTTCTCTTTAAGTCCTGGGAAACAGTGATATGAGTGTTACTTTCTCAGGGATTTTTGGTGTTTCAAACAAGAATTAATGTATTCGTTGGAATCTTGATTTTTTTTTTTTTTTCTTAAACGAGGGTTCGCAACAGCAGAGGTTATATCAACCTCGGGCCACTTTCCGGGAATGTATTACCAGCTTTTTTATTTCTCTGGCGCAGTGTTCAATCGCTATGATTTCAGATTGGAAAACTAGCATATTTACCTAGATTTACCATCAGTTCGGTCTTTGGGTTCATCCCAGACTCCAGTTCCCGAGCCCTTGTCGGTTTTGGAGCCGTCAGTGTACCAGTAGTATAAAATTAAGAAAAAAACTTTTAAAATACGAGGAGTGACGGCGCGTAAACGGTAGACGCACTGATTCACTGACGGGCTGTCTTTATTTTTAAAAACATTCCCATCGAATGAACATAAGTATAGGCTAAGTCTCAGGATCTTTTGAAATAAAGTTTTCAAAAACTTAACAACAACAAGAAGTTATATATACTGTACATATTAGATAAAATACATTCTTTACAAACACAAACCAAAAAGCTGAAGTGATATTCATATTTCATAGCCATTAGCTTAAGTTCCATTTTGTTCCGCTTAGCGCCGTAAAGCACAATACAAAACTTACTTGTTTAACTTGATTTTAAACAATTTAATTTGTATAACATGTGTAGTCATTTAATTTAATTTATTGTAGATTAAATAACGGGAATTCGAGCAACATTTAGAAATGTTTTTGTGATAGTTTTAGTCCGATTTCAACCATGTTGGTTTTGAAGTTCCCAGGAGCCACGAGGAACTCTCCTCTTCGTCATACGCACCTCAACCACGCTTTGGATGTTTTCGAGGTAATTTTCTCCAAACAATTATGAAACTTTTTACCGCTTTTTAAACCTACTTAGAACTTTTTATGACCAGTTAGGCCCGAATATAATTCCTTTTGCCGGGAAAAATGATTTCTGTGGTGATTTCAATTAAAACAAAACCGGAATCTTTCTAACCTAGCGTTTCTCCTTCGTTACTCAGTTTCCTTAGTAGTAATAGTTCACCTTTAAAAAATTCCGTTGTAAAAAAATTGACTCCCTAGATTGCTTCAAATTCTACAGTAGATGGTCTTTTTTTTAAGTTTAAGTTTTTTTTATTTACCTCGCTTTTTTTTGTAGTTGCTCCAATTCTTTTACTAGCCCCTACAAGAAACGTTAAAAGAACAATCGTATATAATAAAACTAATGAAAGTAAAACTTAAGGACATTATTTTTAAACAATGTTGGAAAATGATATAATTAAAATTTCGTTAGGACACATTAAAGAACAATTTAATCATAAAAATAATGAAAGCTGAACATCAGAACATTATTTTATAACATTTCCGTTTTGAAGGATTCGTTGAATTTGCTGCACATTAATGGTCCTTCATTATATCAGTTCGAATGATATCGATCAGCTTGGAGACATCTGTGATAGATGTATGAGTGATTTGTATTTACTCGTTATGTCTGTTAGTTTGAGATCAGCACTTAAGCTGTAAGTGTACTCAATGACCAGTTTTGCACTGCTCCTTAAAGAATCACTTGCTCAGCACATGATATTGGATTACCGGTCAATCAATGGAATTGTAACTGGTGATGGGAATATTTAATATAAAGGGATTCTGAAAATATTGTTTAAATGGATTTAACATTGTATGTAGGATAAGAAACAGTGTCGGCAAAAGGGGGACCGAGGTGCTATGTCAACCTGGCCTCGGGTGAACGGAAACAATAGGGGTCAGTAGACGCGGAGCAGTCAGAGGAAGCAGTGTGCTATAAAATTCGTGTAATGTGATGGGCTTTCTTCTTGGCAGGAATAATCAGTGAGTGCCTGTTTTGATCGGAGTTGTGGCACAAATTTCATGTTAAATTTCACAGTAGTTTCTATCCACCTTCCCCCCCCCCTTTTGACGACACTGTTTCTTATCCTACTTACAATGTTAAATCCATTTAAACAATGTTTTCACAATCCCTTTATATTAAATATTACCATCACCAGTTACACAATCAGCACTGTGTATTGTTGCTGCCAACTCTAAAGCGCATGGCATGATCTCAAGGTCGTATTAGCGAGCTGACCATATAAGCTAAAAAAATGGCAAGCACTTAACATCGCAAAGAATATTTAGTGATTTTTAAAGCAAGATGGTTAGACCATTTCAGTAAAGTATGACTTTCCGTTCTGATACCCATATGTATCAGTAGATTTGAACTCGTCAGTCTACATTTTTAGGAAAAGTTTTTGACTCTGAATTCAATGGTGCAAACGGTTTTTAATTTGGAGGAACCGTACTCAACTAACTTTGTATATATCTTCAATTTATATATTAATTTTAATTCATAGCAAATTAGTTGCTCACGTTACTGATTTTTTTTTTTTTAAACAATTTTTTCAAACACATTGACTAACAGGAGGATGTAGCTCGTTAGAGTGCAATTCAGTCTAGTGCAAATTTTTTATTCCATTAGCGAAAAAATAGTTTGCTTTTAGAGATGCAGTTATATGCCGTGATAAAATTGTCAAAAAATATGCGATAATAGGTTTGGTGACTACTTTCAACAAATAAGAAAATGCATGTTGCCACATACCACTGTTTTCTTGGCTCCTAAGACTATTGACGAGAACACTTGGATAAGTCCAAATATTTTTCATCCTAGTATCACCAGAAAAGTTTCATCATTCATAGATATTCCTGTGTCCGTAGCCTACCCCATGTGACTGAAGGGTGGCTGTGCAATGGCACGCTCAGTACACCTTGGTACAGAACTGTTTTAATTTATTTTACTGAAAACTGTTTAATTATTTGATATAATCTGTTGTTAAATTTCGATGAGTCATGTTACATCATATTTCTGATTAACTATATTTTTCATAGGAATGGTTTAACAAAATAAACCGAGATGTAACTACACAACATTGTACAAGATTATCAGTGCTATCTAGGTCAAAGTGTCTCATCAATTTATTCTGTATTCCTAATATAAATAATCAATTAATGCTTTGTAGAAACATGTTTAATTAGAAATCTATAAATGTTATGTATATTTTCTAATACTTGTGTCTTTTCAGTCTTTAAACATCGTCAAGATATCCCTACTACACTGAAAGATGGGTAAGGAAGACAAGGAAACATGGAAGAGTAATTATTTCAACAAGTTGATTGTAAGTAAAATAATTTCAATTTTCGAATCATATTTAAAAATATTGAAATTGATTAATATATATGTATATATTTTTTTTAGCAACTTTTGGAGGAATATCCAAAGTGTTTCATTGTTGGTGCCGACAATGTCGGTTCAAAGCAAATGCAGCAGATTAGGGTGTCTCTCCGAGGGTCAGCTGTAGTATTAATGGGTAAGAACACCATGATGAGAAAAGCAATCCGAGGACACATTGAGAGAAATCAAGCACTTGAAAAGTAAGTGAAAAAAAAATTATAATAGGTTGTCAATTACATTTTGGCTTTTGGCATATTTAAACTCAAAACTTGATTTTTTCCCCCACAGAATCCTTCCACACATCAGAGGGAATGTTGGCTTTGTGTTTACACGAGGTGAACTTCCTGAAGTAAGAGACAAATTGTTGCAAAACAAGGTCCGTGCCCCAGCTAGAGCAGGTGCCATTGCTCCGTGCCCTGTAGTAATTCCAGCGCAGAATACTGGTCTCGGTCCTGAAAAAACTTCCTTCTTCCAGGCCCTTTCCATCCCGACCAAAATTTCAAAAGGAACAATTGAAATCATAGTAAGATTTATTTTTTCGGTTCTCTTAAAATAAGAAATATTATAACCATAAAGTTGTCTTGTTTATAATTTATTCAGAATGATGTCCACATTTTAAAAGAAGGTGACAAAGTAGGAGCATCAGAAGCAACTTTGCTCAACATGCTGAACATTTCACCATTTTCCTATGGGTTAGTAGTGGAAATGGTGTACGATTCTGGTACCTGCTTTGAACCCAGAATTTTGGACATTAAGCCAGCAGATCTACGTGGAAAATTTTTGGAAGTAAGTGGTTATTTTTATTTTTATGTTTTTTTAAAGTACATTTTGTGTTGTTCTAATTGTTACTGAAATTTCTTATAGGGAGCCGCTCGTGTGGCATCAGTTTGTTTTGAAATCGGGTATCCTACTATTGCATCTGCTCCTCACAGTATTGCCAATGGATTGAAGAACCTGTTGGCTGTTGCTGCTGAGACTAATGTTGAATTCAAAGAAGCAGAAATGATTAAAGAATATCTTAAGGTATGACAGATTGTAGCATACAATTATATTTTTATCGTTATTTTTATTTATTATTATTTGTTTTAATTTTAGGATCCTTCTAAGTTTGCTGCTGCTGTAGCTGTTGCTGCTCCAGCTCCTGCTGATGCTAAAGCAGCTGCTTCGCCAGCAAAGGAGGCTCCCAAGGAAGAATCTGATGAATCAGATGGCGAACTTGGATTTGGCCTTTTTGATTGAAAAGCTTAATTTTATGGAGAGATAAAATAAATGTTGCATTTGTGGAGAACCTGACGGTCGGAATAAATTTTAAAAAATAAAAAAAAGAACTTTTTATTGGCTTACATTTCCCTCTTTTTTCAACTAGAGTCCTGGCTTTGGATTATTTCTGTTCTATGGCTCATGTTTTACTAGGACAAACATTCAAGATTTAAGAAAAAGCTGATTCAATTTTTTCACTTCTGGGTAATAATTGCAGTACATAATATTATCTCTTTAAGTCCTGGGAAAATGCAGGTAACAGTGATGTGGGTGTTACTTTTTTTTTTCTTTTTTTTTTTTTGTAAGTATGTTGGGTTCAAATGCAGGGCTGCTGGATGTGTGCTTACCTTACAGTGTTGAGCGCCGTGTCAACGCCTAAACCATTGTAGCCACCGACGCCCCCTCCGAATCTTGATATTGTCCTGGTTTCTGTGCATTCTCTAAATTCTGATAACCACCTGAGCCAGCTCACTCAGAATTTCACAATTTTTTTTATACCCAGGTGCAGTAGCCACCAGACTCCCTTCGAGAAATTAAAAGTTTTATGCAATCAAATTTCATTGGAATATTTTCATATTATTTAAATTGTTAGTTAAAATCTTTTTCACTTGTTATGTTTAGCAATATTGTTCCATTTTTAAGAAATTTTACATTGGATTGTGGCAATAGCTTTTAATAAATCTGCAGGTTTTAAATGGGCTGAAATCATTTAGACTAATGATAATAAGTATATAACTGAGCCATTTAGATTTTATCTTTGCAAAGACTTTTATCCGGTTCAAATTCAAAATTCACTCAACACCATATTGCTTGCCACCGTTGGTTTGGTTTATTAGAAAGAAAATTTACCTCTAATCACCACACAAAAGACTAAAAAAGTTAATAGTAATGATTATTTAGAGATCGTGTGATGCGGCCTGGCGTGACATAGGTTTAGAAAAACATTTTCTTTACCATACATCTTTCTTGAGATCATCTTCAGGGCTCAAAGTGTTCTTTTTTTTGTGTACACGTGTCATTACTGTGTGTTGGGTTGAGAGTGCGCAATTAGTTAACAGTAATGATAAAAAAGAGAAGGAAAATATATTATACTCCTTGAAAAGGGCTAAATCTACGACAATGAGGAAAGAATGTGGTTTAAAGTTTCAACTTTTTTAAAAAGTTCATTCTTGTGTAAGCACATGGTTCCATAACCGTGAAAAATAACAGTCGTTTTTCGAGAAAAAAAGTGTAAGTAAGAAGTAAAAACGTAATTAAAAGTAAAAAAAAGTAGGGATAGGGATAAAAGAGGTAGCCACAAGGCCTTCTGCACCTCGACCTGAATAGATCTATGGTGCTTCCTTGTTTTATAACTCACTGGCCAGCATCAGGTTGCTAATGCCTCCACATCTTTGCCAGCGGCTCCTTAGTGTAGGATCTGACTTGTGGTTTTTCTTGTCCTAGTTGCAAGAACATGCACCTCCTTAAACCTTCACAGCAATGTAGAATGTGTTCTGCGGCCTCCTCCTCTTCCTGGCAGTATCTGCACAGTGTTTCTTCTGTCTGTACTTCTATCTGGTTCATGTGTTTTCTTAAGTAGCAGTACCCCGTCAGGAGTCCAATCAGAATCCTGGTTCGGTTGCGGTTGCCTTCCTGTAATTCTTTTGTAAGTTTTGCGAATGGTCCTTCTATCAATCTCTGCTCGTGCCTGTTTTGGATTGAATAAGGATCCATTTTAAGATTATCCTCTTAGGATGCTAAGCCACAGTAGGGTTCAGGACACAGAGAGTCCATGTTGGCCCCCTCTTGGGTCAACCTTTTCGTTGCCTCTATGCTCCGAGTGTCCAGGGTCTCTGCCAAGGTCAGGTCATTAGTGTCACGACTTCTGTCAGGGCCTCCATGCAGTTCCAAACGCTTTGCCTTCACCTTGCATCAGGCTAGGGCCCTTAATGCTGCATTAGTGCCTGACTGTCATTGAAGATGGCCATCTTCCAGGAGTGTATTACCAGCTTTTTTATTTCTCTGGCGCAGTGTTCAATCGCTATGATTTCAGATTGGAAAACTGTAGCATATTTACCTAGATTTGGGTTTATCCCGAAGACCCCAGTTCCCGTGCCCTTGTCGGTTTTGGAGCCGTCAGTGTACCAGTAGTATAAAACTAAGAAAAAAAAAAGTTTTAAAATACGAGGAATGACGGCGAGTAAACAGTAGACGCACTGATTCACTGACGGACTGTCTTTATTTTTAAAAACATATTCCTAGTTTAGTTCCCATCGAATGAACATCAGTATAGGCTAAGTCTCAGGATCTTTTAAAATAAAGTTTTCAAAAACTCAACAACGACAAGAAGTTATATATACTGTACATATTAGATAAAATACATTCTTTACAAAAACAAAACAAAAAGCTGGAGTGATATTCATATTTCATAGCCGTGAGCTTAAGTTCCATTTTGTTCCGCTTAGCGTCGTAAAGCACAATACAAAACTTACTTGTTTAACTTGATTTTAAACAATTTAATTTGTATAACATGTGTAGTCATTTAATTTAATTTATTGTAGATTAAATAACGGGAATTCGAGCAACATTTAGAAATGTTTTTGTGATAGTTTTAGTCCGATTTCAACCATGTTGGTTTTGAAGTTCCCAGGAGCCACGAGGAACTCTCCTCTTCGTCATACGCACCTCAACCACGCTTTGGATGTTTTCGAGGTAATTTTCTCCAAACAATTATGAAACTTTTTACCGCTTTTTAAACCTACTTAGAACTTTTTATGACCAGTTAGGCCCGAATATAATTCCTTTTGCCGGGAAAAATGATTTCTGTGGTGATTTCAATTAAAACAAAACCGGAATCTTTCTAACCTAGCGTTTCTCCTTCGTTACTCAGTTTCCTTAGTAGTAATAGTTCACCTTTAAAAAATTCCGTTGTAAAAAAATTGACTCCCTAGATTGCTTCAAATTCTACAGTAGATGGTCTTTTTTTTAAGTTTAAGTTTTTTTTATTTACCTCGCTTTTTTTTGTAGTTGCTCCAATTCTTTTACTAGCCCCTACAAGAAACGTTAAAAGAACAATCGTATATAATAAAACTAATGAAAGTAAAACTTAAGGACATTATTTTAAACGCAAAATGATGTAATTAAAATTTCGTTAGGAAATTAAGAACTAAAGAAGAATAAAAAAAAAATTAATCATAACAATAATGAAAGCTGAACATTAGAACATTATTTTATTACATTTTCGTTTTGAAGTATTTGTTGAGTTTGCTGCACAGTAATGGTCCTGCATTACATCAATTCGAATGATGATATTGATCAGCTTGAAGACATCTTTGATAGATAGTGTTATTTGTATTTACTCGATATGTCCGTTAGTTCGAGATCAGCAGCTGTAGAGGGGCTTACGCTGTAGGCGTATTCAATGACCAGTTTTGCACCGTTCCATAAAGAATCCCTTGCCCCGCACATGGCATTGGATTACCGGTGCATGACCAAAATCTGCCTGAATTTGTATTTTCGTCTGACTTTTGCTGGCTGAGGCTGTTTTATTAAATTTCTAGTCTTTTTACATGCTCACTTAACCTTTTTTATGTGGAAATATTGTCTAAAATACGCTTCCGTTTTTTTAAATTGATTGATGGCTAAAAAACTCTACATAGAAACATGAATTACCACACTGCCACAAACGTCGTAGTGTGATAAGTTAGATGGAATGGAAAAGATCCATTGTGCCAGTTTCGGGCAATCAACACTGTGTATTTTTGCCGCCAACTCTAAAGCGCATGGCGTGAACTCAAGGTCGTATTAGCGAGCTGACCATATAAGCTAAAAAATGGCAAGCACTTAACATCTCAGAAAATATTTAGTGATTTTTAAAGCAAGATGATTAGACCATTTCAGTAAGGTATGACTTTCCGTTTTGATACCTATATGTATTAGTAGATTTATAAATTACAAGAACTTGTCAGTGTACATTTTTAGAAAGGAATTCAATTAGGAAGTGCAAGCGGTTTTTAATTTGGAGGAACCATACTCAAGTTATTCACAAATAACTTTCTGAACCGTCAATTTATTTATCATTTTAAATGCCAGCAAATTAATTGCTCGTTACTGAAAAACATTTTTTTGAACAATTTCCTCGACACATTGATTAGCAGGATGCTAGAATGTATCTAATAACTACACAATGTTGTACAAGATTATGAGTGCTATCTAGGTTTAAGTTTCTCATCAATTTATTCTGTATTCCTAATATAAATAATCAATTAATGCTTTCTAGAAACATGTTTAATTAGAAACTTAAAATTTTATGTATATTGTCTAATACTTGTGTCTTTTCAGTCTTTAAACATCGTCAAGATATCCCTACTACACTGAAAGATGGGTAAGGAAGACAAGGAAACATGGAAGAGTAATTACTTCAACAAGTTGATTGTAAGTAAAATAATTTCAATTTTCGAATCATATTTAAAAATATTGAAATTGATTAATATATATGTATATATTTTTTTTAGCAACTTTTGGAGGAATATCCAAAGTGTTTNTAAAATAAATGTTGCATTTGTGGAGAACCTGACGGGCGGAATAAATTTTAAAAATAAAAAAAAGAACTGATTATTGGCTTATATTTCCCCCTTTTTTCAACTTGATTGAGCTAATCATATGAAGGACTGACGAGCAAGGTTTGTTACAAAAGTAATGTGTGCTTCTTGAGGTGATTGAAAACAACGGTAAAGCTAACTGTATTTTTGTATTAACTGTTGTTCAAATGAATATTTAAGACTGAAGTATACCACAACAGTTCTAGATGGAAAACACTGTCATGTTAACACTTAACCATAAACTTACTCTTATCGAGTCCTGGCTTTGGAATATTTCTGGTCTGTGGCTCATTTTTTACTGGGCCAAACATTCAAGATTTAAGAACAAGCTGATTTTTTGAAAATGCGGGTAAGAGTGACAGGGTGCTGGGACAGGAGATAGAAGGCAATGAACAGGCTGTCAAGCTAGCAAAAAAGAGACCTGAACTGCAATCAGACCAAATTAATGGTGAAAGAATGTCTTGGATAAATTTACCTAATGCAAAACAAAAACGTTACTCAACTGGGGAAACAAAAGCTGGAACTGCAGGGGGCCTGCGAAATGTGATAAGCTCAACTTTGTACATGTGTGTATGTATGTATATGCATGTGCAGATTTGAGCTTATGTAAATCAGTAGTCAGTAAAAGAAACTAAAAAAAAAAAAGAAAAAGAAAAGTAATTCCTGTTACATAGGAGGGCTTCACTCCAACTACTCATTGAGCATTGCGGACTAGGGATCAAATACTTTGCCATACTCCTTTCAAACTATTTTCAGTAAAAAGCCATGGGCTGTGCTAGTATTTGAACTCAGATTGCTTGTGGCAAAGTCGGACACCCTAACCAATTAGCAAAAAATTTGTATATTCAAAAATGGAATACATAGTTCCATAATTGATTAGGTTGGTTCTCGAAATGATTTGGCACTGAAAATCTAGAATAAATAACAGAGGATGGAGGAGCCTTTGAAGTACTAAAAGGAAGAGTTTTCTCACACGTTTAAGTAGCTCACCTCAGCAAGTCACCCCGTAAAAATGGTTAGTACTAACACGTCTCAGTACTCATCAGTCAGATAATGTAATAATAAATTAATAAATGCGGTATAAAAGCATCGAAGGTTTGTCAGCTTTTTTTCTGTCAGAAAAAAGATACTTTATAGAAGATGTACTTTTATAGAAGAAAGCATGATTATCAATCAAATAAAATACATTGGCTCATTAAATTTTTTCGGTAACATTACCTCCATTTTTACACAGTTCATGGTTAATTGGTAAATCATTTTAGTTATAATTTACCTTTGGTATCAATTTTTTTGTAAGATCAGTTGCAGGTTTTCAAACAAATATGCGAAACATATTTTTGTAAAATTATTGTTTTATTATAAATATACTACATTATTGAAGAAACATTTTCAGTGCTGTAATTGCTGTTCTTTTCCAAAAGCCATCTTGTTGACACATTCCTTTCTCCGACAGTCGCAAATTTCATAGGTTCGTTCGATTTGCCATCTTTGTTTGTTGTAATACTGTGATTCATTTCTGTTCTAAATCCACAACAAAATGATTTCACCTGGAATAAAAGGGATGTTATTTATTCTAAGATAAGATGAAGCTCCTATTACTATTTTTTTCTTTTTTAACAAGGGTACTTCAACTTCGAGGTTATATGAACCCTCAGGATTCCAATGCTTTAAAAATACCCATTTTTAAGTGTGACGGGTTCAAATATAGGGCCGCTGGATTTCAACCTGGTACCTTTACCTGATAAGTACCGTGTCAACGCCTAAACCATTGCGACCACTGACGACCCTAAACTTTTTGTTGTTTACAATAATTTTAACCTGTGATGGGAATTTCCTCGAACTGAACAACACTTTTTTTCTTCACTTTTAATTGCTTACATGTATTTCATGAACAATGTATGTATAACATATATGTATATAATCGTTTTTTTATTTTTCATTTATAGGTCTAGTTTTATATAATTGAGTTTGTTAATTATAAATATGTTTTTCCAAGAGAAGTGAGTTCCGGGACATGCAGGTATAGAAGGAAATGAACAGGCTGATCAAATAGCCAAAAAAGAGGCAGCCCTATCATCCATGGAACCGGAATCACAACTAGGTGCACTGGAGTGTGTGCTTAAAAGTGGGAACCGAAAAATGGCTTGAGAAATAAAAACTAAAAAGCACTGGAGGAAGCTAAGAAATTTATAAATCTGTCAAAAAGGAAATCAAAGGATTTCCTCTCTCTCAGCAGGCAGGATTTGAAGAAAATTATAGGCCTCTATACTGGCCACTGCCATCTTAAGTACCAACTAAAGAAGATAGGCAAAGCAGAGACAGAAACATGCTGACTCTGTCAAGAAAAACTAGAGACACATATCTAGTCACGGTACAGCCACTTCGGTAAGACAATTTTCACACCAAAAGAGGTGCACAAAGAGGCACCAAGGAAATGTTTAGTCCTATAGGAAAACTGCACTTTCCAAGGTATGGTAATAATTTATAGGGAAAGGATTTTTAAAATCCTTATTTGACCAAAAAAAGTTTTTTACCTGTAGCTGTGAAAAGGAATACCTAATATCTACTACTTGCATCGGACCCGAAATAAATAGGTATAGACCATGCCTACGAAGAAAAAGAGGTTGTGCAGTTCATGAAAATTCTCATCACAGATAAAATTGTTAGTTATTCCCGTTATACAAAAAATCAATATATAATTTTAAAAAAATTTTGTTTATTTGAGTTTTACAACTCCGATTTTTAGTTGTAACAAGCACACATGTTACACATGATGAAAAAAGAATGAATTTTCTTGAGATTTTATGTCGTGGTCTGCAGGGTGATAAACCTGTAGGTTGGCCATTTCTAATCATCCTATCCTGGTCTTTCAGATGCATTTTTGCATTTCACCATCTTCCATGCTTTTCAACAAACTCACACAAAAAGAATGTTGAAACAAGCCTGACAGCACAAAACAGAAACGATAGGTAAAATTATTGAACTACAAAGTATTTATAATTTGAAAGTTACCTATCATCTTGGTCTTCCTAACCTCACTGATTTTGCTCTGACCAAGATTACAGGTAACTATCAAACTATAGGTTTTTCACCCTGCAGGCTGCAGGAGAAAATCTCATTATTTACAAACTATTTTGTTCATTGTTTTATCCTGTAAATTACTATTTTCAAAAATGCAAGAAATTTTTCCACAAATGGCATGTAAGAAATATGAATTTTATAACTCCACATTTATTTAATAGATATTATATAGAACTACTTACCGAGCATACTCCTATGAAAGTTCCCAAAAGTGCACCAGCTAATACATCCCACCAATGATGTCTATGATCCGTAATTCTAGACAAAGCACAAAATGATGCCCACAGAAAACAGATAGTTTGTAACCAAATTAATACAATAGGTTGTACCCTGTGTAGCCTTGTCTGTAAAAACCACTAAAAACAAATATATTTTTTTATTAACATCTTAATCTTCTGTATTAATATACATACATATTTAAAAAAAAATTGACTAGTTTTGTCGGTCTAATAATTGGTATATTTAGTTGTTTAGATGAAAGGATGGTCCGATGTAAATCATTTTGTTGCCAAGCTTTATGGCCAATATTGTATTAAATAATTAACAGACAGACATTAATATACACATATAAAAATTTTCTCTATTTCAATGGGATTCACATTTTTCTAAAAAATCGTGGAACCTTAGTTATTACAGATGCTAGTAATCAAAAGCCAAAAGTAGACTAAGAAAAGAAAAACAACTTAATAAATTAATTTTATTATAATNTATGTGAAATAAAATATAAAATATATACATATTATTTTTTAACAAATAAGCAAGTAAGAAAGAAAAACATGTGAAATAACATTAAATAACTAAATTTTACATATGCATTTTTTTGAAAGAATTTTATAATTTACACATATTAGTTGAATAAAGTATAAAAAGGAAAAGTATAATAAGTTAATGAAATAGAAAATAAAACCTTAATTTTCAAATTTATTTTAAATAGCGTTCATAAATACAAAATGCATGTTTATAGTCCTAAAAAAAAAATCTATAAATAAAAACCATTTTTTTAAAAATGGTTCAGTTACAAGCATAATTACATTACGTATTTGAACAATGCTAAAATATGATAATTTAAAACTTTACTCTCCAAAGATTTTCAAACAATGTATATTTTTAAATTTTTGAAAGTAAAATTACGTCAATCTGGTGGTAAAATATTTTTGTACTGACTAGAAGAATGTTCCACATCTACGGAATTAATGGGGGCCCAATCGAAGGCTATGATTTCATGTATAGAGAGAGGAATTTCTTTTTTGCTATTTTCCCACAACAAAATAAAAAATGAATGCAATAAAAACTAAATTTTGCATGAGTGTATGTATTTCTATAATTTATTTTGTCTTTTCTAGGCAGGCACGTTTTGCAATGAAATTTTAGAGAGATTTTCCTACTATATGGTTCCTTCTATCCAGGTCCACCATCTCTTTATGATAGGTTGTAGCGGAAGTGATAAATTTGGATAGTTATCCCTTACTCTACTCAGGGCTTTAAGGAAAACTTTTCATGTATGATATCAAACAATCCACACCTCAAAATTCATTTTGTAAATTATAATCAGTGATTCTATGAAAGGCATATGCATGTGCACGTTATGTGTTTTGGCCTATGATAGAAGATTTTCCCATTTTCTTTTTCTCAATTTTTTTGGTTTTTGTCTTGAAATCTTTAGTTACCTATTTATTTAGTTACCTTCTTAGTTTTGCTCTTTTTTTTAAATGTTCCATCATTTGTTGTTTGTTTTATTAAATATGGACCAAAATATGTAAATTAAGGTAAAACATGCAATAATATGTAAAATCCTCCCAATATTTACAAATATGTCAGATAAAATACATTATACAGTGCTTCTAAATAGTATGAAACATGAAATAAAAATTTCAAAAATGGTTTATGAGGCTCCAAAAAATATGTGAATACATAAAAATCTGGTCTTTAATAATGAACAGTAAAACAATTGTATTAGCTTTTAGGTATTAATTTTCCTCCTAATATAAACAGTCAATTCCCAAAATATTTATTTCTTTGAACAACATTGAAAGTACGAAATCCCCTGCCTTTGAATTGAAATATCTTTGGAAATGCACTATTAATCTAATTGTTCTTGGTGTTATTTTTTTATATAAAAAATATAATGTTTAAAATTGCATTAAAACTTGGTTCAATTATTGTGACATTAAAAAAATGTTTGACCACTTATTTTATATACTTGGGAAACTATGTTGGGCTACCATTTAAACATTTTTCTGTAACCCTTCACTATCGAGAGAAGTATTGAAATAGAGACACCCTGCATACTTTTGACCCAGAAGATTTGACAAATAAACGCTTAAGACCATGCTTTCATCCATTTTTATCTGTACTAGTTTTCACCATAATGATAAAATATTTTATTATTATATTTGAATAATGTATCGCTTGAATCAACTCAAAACAACAAATAAGAGAGAGCAAATTTAAGAAAAAAACTTACTGCAACGAAAATAAACAAGTAGAATGAAAACGCAGCATGGCCTGATGGAAATGATTTGCTCGCATCGCTGATAAAATACTGCGATGCGTTTTTATTTTGACAATTAAAGTTAGTCACAAACCTATAACAAGTAACACTTAGATACTCGGATCAAATGTATTTATTGGTGTGTAAATTTTTAATTACTTTTGAGAACAGTTGATCGCCTCCTTGGGTTGGCAAGTGTCTAGAAAATGAGGCCTAGGTTCTCCAACCATACACTTACAGATCACAATCACTGTAGTCAATAAAAGAAATCCTGCGAGAAAGTCCATATACCAGATCAACGACTGTTTTACCCAGCTCCTGTGGGGGCCACTTTTTGAACACCACCATTCAGTCAATAATACCTTAAAAAAAATCCATTAATTATGCATTATAAATATGCTGGAAAATATGTAATGTTGAAAGTAAAAGATAAGTATGAAATCTGTATAGCAAAACTACCTACTTACTTTTATTCATATATATATTAAATTTTATTTACAAAAATTATAAAATATCAAATATCAATGGTTATTTATTAAAAAACAACTTTGAAAAAGGGAAAATATATTCCCATAATGTTGTGTATGAATTATTTTGTCTTGTTCAAACATGTCCAACTGATTTATGTGTAGTGACAAGGGTGGGATTAAAACCAGTACCGTTGCGAAGGCGACACCTACTGGCCCTAAACCTTTTGTGGTATACCAAACTGCCAAAAACGTGGATCCATCAGGCAATAGATTAAAAATAAGTCCTCAAGAACAAAGGAATATGAAAAAGTTCATCAAAGGGCCTTTGTAGAAACTAACAGCAGAACTACTAAATTTAGGACGTGCTAGGACTAGAATGATAGTTGGACGGCTAACTGGACACTACAGACTCCGGAGTCATAAGCATAGTCTTGGAGTGGCGGAAACAAGTCTGTGCAGATATTGCCAAGAAGAAGAGCCAGCGGAACATGTAGGCTTAAGGTTTCTACTCCTGGGAAAGGAAAAGTCTGGGCCTGAAGGATACAGACCGAATCCTTGAAAAAGCTTTGGGATCTGGTAAAAAGCCTTAAGTTTAATGAGGAGCTCTAGACAACAACGGTGATGCACTGTAGAGTCTATAGACCAATAGTGATCGTGGTGTGAATGTTGTAATGAGGCCGACTCTTTTTTTAATTTAATCTAATCTAATCTCAACATTTTGATTCAACCTGGTAATACTGCACAAATATATTAAATAAAAACAATGCCTTTTGAGTATAATCCATGCCAGCATACATCAACAATGTTGCTAACAACATAATAAAATGCAATTTGTAAATGATTTATAATATCCAAAAATTGAGACCTGACATGTAGGCATAATTTGTAATTATATTAGCCTACAGAAGTGTTGAACAGTATTCCTTTCAACATCAATTTTGCATTATAGGAAAAGAATTTACTAATTTCAAAAGTTTCTAAGCATAATACAGATGTAGTAGTGCTACAATTGCTAATATTAGAGAAAAGTTAATTAAAATAAAGTTACTATAAAGCAGCTAATATTAAAACAACAAGATACATTTTATTATATAAAAATCAAATTTCTTTATAATAATTTTAAATTATAAAGTAAACGTAGTAACTTTTTTTCTGATTCTGATATGAATAAAACCAGCAATACTTGTTGGCTACTAAGTTTTGTAAAATTCCAAGCTAAAATTACTATTTCAAGAAATAGAAATGTCTAAATCATGCATATTATCTAAATCTTAAATTAATTTGAATTGCATTTGGTTGAATTGCTCACCGAGTTGATCTTACTTGTGCCAGTTGGCATTAAATACAAGTTTGCCACATCAAAATTTCTTCCACCACATCCATTTATATGTGACAATGCATGAATCTTATTATTTATTAGCCTCCCTAAAGACATATATGAACGTTGAATATACAAAACCAGTTTAGCATGGGAGCATGCTTGAAAAGTTGTAAAAAAGAAGTTATTACTGTTATTTATTGTAACCAGCTTTTAATGACTATGGTTTTTATTTTGAATTATATTTTAAACTTACTATAACAAGAGGAGATGCAGCTGTAACAGATATAAGTAGCTTGGGTGACACCGTGTCTCCTGCAAATTTGTGAGAAAGTTTTGGATCCCCGCACATGAATCCAAGCGGCCGAAGTAAGGGCACAACACCATATTCGATGAGGACAAGAACTGTTATCACTGAAACATTAAAAGAAACCTTACTTAAAAATGAGTGCATGTTAACATTTTTTATTTAATTATTTTCTTTGTTATTGCAAATTAAATTGACTGTTTTTTTGTATCTCAAACTTGAACTAATTTTTAAATGTTCATTATGAAGTTTAGTAATACCATGAGGCTACATTTTGTGCTATGGACAATACTTATTCTATAATCTTTTTTCAATTTATTATTTATGAAATAGACTGACAAAATAACAACAATCTTGGAAGCATGGCAAAATTTAACGTGTTCAATACAGGGTGTCAGGATACTCGCATCAACAACTTTGCCAGTGAATTTCACACCTCCAGAGCGCCAAAAATGTTGGTGTGCACCATGGTCCAATTCTCAATCCTTTTGCAGATATTCAATATTTTGTTTTTTCAACTAACTACCGTTTTCTTCATAACTCTTCTTGTAGCTCTTAAACTATTCATTTTTGGGAATTCCAAAAAAGTATTGAAAAGAGTGTTTCTTTCCTTTAAGAAGGCACCCTTCTAGTACTTTCAATTTAATTTTTAGTAGAGCTGCCCGGCAGCCCTCTCTGGCTGTAGGAATGAATTTGCCAGACTTGGTGAAGATTGTTTTAGCATAAGTTTACTGTGTTTAGCATCCCTTGAGTTTATAAACTTCTCCTTTTGTTTTATTTGGATCCATTCTATGATGGAGGATTTGGTTTTGTTATCCAAAGTATAGGTTCAGGGATTATATATGGACTTGCAACCTCCCCTGGCCGTTCTGTCTGCTTGCTCGTTACTCAAAATTCCTTTGTGTCCTGGCACCCAAGTTATCAGGTTGTTGTGTTTCCCCAGGTTTTGGATGCATTCACTGATTAATTTTGATAGGATTTTTCTAACGCTACTGCTTTGTTAGCTGCTTGGCTATCCATTCTTATGAGGATTTTTTGCCAGTTGCCTCTTTTAAGATTTTCTAGAGCACAAGCAGTGATGGCATGTATTTCAGCTTGAAAGACCGAGTTGAGCTTGATATCTCATATTTTGGGCTTGTACAAAAAACGCCTGATCCGGTTCATTCATTTGTTTTGGGACCACCTATATACCATATCTTTGTATCTGATTTCCACAAAACCAGTGAGAATAGGCAACTAGGATGAACAGCGATGATCAAACTAATAATGATGATTAATTAATTTTTACTTAATTTGGGGATTTAAGAGTGCTAACTGAAAATATGTATATTTTTAGGAATGAGAGCAGATTTTTTCCTCAGGGTTATAATTATTGAATTGTGTACTATAAAATCAATCATTTATATCGATTTGATTAGGAGTTTTAATGTATTATGAAATCAAAATACCTACTTTATGGCTAAATTCTTTTTTGTTTATCATGTTTTTTCATTTATGAGTTTATTATAATGTTTCTGAAAACTCAAAAAATTCACATAAATAAAGTTTCCATAAGTGTTTCTGTAAACGAAATAGTAATATTTATCAATTCTTATTGATCTGAACGCTAGAGGAGATTAGTTTTTTTTTATAATCGTCGTTAAAGTAAAATATAGTCTAACCGTTATCGGTAAGAACTAGTGATTAGCTATTATGTTATTAAATGACGCCCGGAGCACACAAAGACGTGTGTGATCGAAACGGACAGCATAATTTCATCTCCAATAAAATTTAACTAGTAGGAAGAAAAAAAAAATTCTGAGATGATAAACAATCTATTGGTATGTTGCCTATGTTTTAAAACAACTGTGAGATTTATTCTCGATGATAAACGATACAGTTTGTATATGACCTGCGGATTGTTCGATCGAAGTCTATTTCTGTTGAATGTTTTCAGGTATTAATCGATGGAAAAAAGTAGAATGAAATAAAATTCAAAAGTAAGGCCCGCATCAAATCAAGAAGAAGAATTAAGAGAAAACGTGTGAATGTAATTCATTAGCGTGAATGAAGGGGTGTATCCCTAATACCCCGAGGAATATCGAGTACGCTGGGGTAGAATCAATGCTGACCAGACTATTATGTTTTTATTTATTATGTTTTTGTGTATGTGTTTCTTATTGTATTATTTTATCCTCAATTAACGGCTGGAGAAACATTAAAAGAAATTAGAAGGGTTAAAAGGCGAGAATGGCAGGAAAATATTTGAGGGCGATGACCAATGTATTTATCCTGTAGTTGTAGTTTACCTGCTGGGTAAATATTAATAGAAATAGTTCGAAAAAAGTTTTTTTTATGTATGCATATACTTTTATGCTATAGTGAGATCGGCCCTTTCAATCGCTCGCCAACCCCAGGGCTTCGCGGGCGTCCCTCTTTTTTCCCATTATTTTCAGCCAAACATATTTTCTACAAACTTTGTCCTTGTATCTTATTCTCAACAGATTCAACCCAGAACTTGATATTCTTTTGAAGGCGAGAACTTTGTCATCAGCATCGAAGTTGTGGTACTTTTCCCTTGCAAAGAAAGACTCATCATATAAATTGCCATTTCTCATCATTGAAAACGTTGGCCAGTTTGATATTGTGATTCATCAACAGAGATAAGACTTCAGAACGTAATTCCAGTCGTGAAAGTGTTTTCCCATGAGACAGCCACCTCACTTCTCTGTGGAGAAGCAGGCTTCCCATATCGGTACATAGTAATGGAAAAGTCTTGACTTCAATGGCCGCGGCTTGATATAATTAATAATTTGAATAAACTCACCCAAACTATCTGAAAAGAAGCTGGCATTTTTTTCAGCAGTTCAGTTTCAGTTTCGTAGCTAAAGCATGTCTGTGGACAACACATATTGTTGTTGCAAATCTTCGATTTATTTTTTATTTTAGTTATCACTCCGATCGTTCGGCTTGTCATTGCTTTTGCACCATCTGTCACACGTCAATGCAATTAGACCTTGGAATTTCGTTCGTTACACCTCGATAGGGCTACATGTAATTGTTCGTGTAAATATTGTGTTTTTTGAATTTATAATCAAACCTATTTTCTCAAAACTTTGTCTTTGTGTCTTATTTATGGTCATAGCATGTGCTAGACGGGCTGGTTGGTATTGCAACCGTTTCAAAACAAACGACATTTCGATATCTCCTCGGGGGTCTAAATATATTCGGGGGATGTATCTCACTTTTTATTCCCAGTTAATATTTCGCAGTGTAGTGTTGACCTATAAATTTTTCTTACTATCCAACGGGTCCCGTTACACAAACCGCCTCCTATGCATAAAATTCTCAATAGCCTAACTACACATACTGTTTTTAAGTGCAGTTCTGCAGGAGGCAAACCCGAAGGTGTCATTAATTGTAAATACTCAATGGGATACTGTAAACTTACATTTTTATTGTCGGCTTTGTCACCAGCTAGTGCCTCAGCATGATCTATGGAAACACACTTAACAATTTTCCCTGGTAGTCGTTTCACAATAAGGCGATTGATTTTTTACACTTCGTCATTTCTATCTGATTAATTACTCCATTACTCATTTCTTCCTCAGATAAATGTCATGGATAAAACTCTTCCATTAAATTATCGAATAACATTTCATGGGGTGTTTCACGTGATTTTTTAAAACATTATTTCCAATATCTAGAAACCAAACTGAGAATTCTATCCATTATATTTCGTGGTCCGATTGGCCAAATAACTTCTTTCAATTAATTAATCTTTATGTAAGGTATTGGTCGAAATGAAAAAGTAAGTGTCACGAGCGGGATTCGAACCCACGACCTTCGGCTAAATACGCCGCTTCTCTACCACGTGATCTATCGTGACTTCGATCCACTCGGACACCAACTTCCCATCCCAACCCCACCTTTTGAATTTTCCCTCCTTTTGGCATTTTTCATTGGAATTTTTCCAGTAAATGCACGATCATCATTAAAAATATCTCTAAACATCCTATCGATAGCGGCTAATACAGTTTGGGGAATCATCGACGCTTCATCCCGGATGAAAATGTCCGTTTCTTGGAGTGCGTGTTTAATTTTATGTGGCTAATTCAGTGTGACTCGGTCATCAACTAAATTTAACAGTAACCCAAATGTTTTATGTCCTGTCCTTCTTTATGTGAGAAAAAGCCGCTATTCATGTCCAAGCAATGGTTGCAACTTTTTGCACCAATGCCTGCAGAAATGTGTACGCTACCCCCTGGTCCGGCAACACAGAAAGTACTTTGAGAGCTACTCATTTCTCCAGTTACGGCCACTTTAATCGTATCGAAAACTTTCGACTGTATTTATTTTTCCATACATTTGTTCATAAATGACTTTAAGATCATAACTCTGTAGATCTTCGTCGACCACAATTTCTTTCAAAATTTTCGAGTTTTGAATCTTTTCATGAAGGTCATATTGTTTCTGGTCATTCCTTCGTTTTCAAATACATCTCGAAGGTTGGACAGTGCACTAACGTCATTAGAGTATTTGCTTAATTGATCTTTAAATTGTTCCCAAAGCATCGGTGCATCTATTTCTCTACTCATTATTAAATAAACAAACAAAAGGCCTCAATTTATTTGGAATCATTACTGAATCATTTCGAACATATAAATTTCCGATTCGCACAATCCCGCTGCCTCCTGAGATCTTATGATAATAAACTTACGCAACTTTGCGAATTGTTATACATCTTAGCGTTTTTCTATTTAATTGATCTTAAATAGCTGTTTAATATGTACGTAAAAAAAGATACCGTAAAAAAACATAAATTTGTTAAATTCTGGATTAAAATAAGTAATGATAGCAATTGTTATACATTTCAAATTAGGCTTATTTTGCAGAAAAAACGTTCATTTTTCCAACGTGCATAATATGACATAGTTTCTTAATGTTTAATCTGAGAAAATAGTGAGAGAAATGAAAAATTATTTTAACACGTTGCGTTTATTCATACTCCCCCTATCTTATCTCTTTCTACACCACTAAAATCGTAAGGTCCTTCTTAAATATTATAAATATTATAATGGGGTGTAAAAAATAACAGTTTATAGGAATATGTTTGAGGTCTTTTCTTGATTGGTTTCCTGGGAGAAAAAATCGATTTTTAAAGAAAGAGAGTAGATCATTTAAATATTTGATTTTGACTAAAATTCGCAACATAGATCAATCGTAACTAAGTATAAAAAGTTTATATACGCCACAATCTAATTTCACTTTAATAATTAATAATATTTTGTGTGTACTATTTAAAGTGTTTTTAGCCCATCTTAAAGTTTTAATGAGGCTGTAAATTTAGTTTTTTACAAATTTTAAATTTAGCAGTTTTTGAAATATATAGTGTTTTTTTTAACCAAAAATTAAATTGAAAGTACTAGAAGGGTGCCTACATAAAGTAAATTTAACGCTCTTTTCAACGCCTTTTTCCCCCGAAAATGAATAGTTCAAGAGCTACGAGATTCATGAATAAAAATGTAGATAGTCGGAAAAACAAAATGTTGAATATCTGCGAAAGTGTTGAGAATCGGACCATGGTTCTCTCGAACTTTTTTGTTACATTTGATATGGAGAAGCACCGGAAGAACTTTGCCGTTGGAGCAGCGAATCACCTTGTATATAAAGACATCAGGCATAAGGCGATATTGCAATTGCAATTAACTCTTCAACTATTCATTTTTGGAATATATCGCCAAAAAGAAAAATTCTCGTGTTTTTTTTTTTTTTTTTTTTTTTTTTTGACACCGAAAGCATATTTTTATAGTTATGTCACTATAATGGGCTGTTAAATATCCCATGATTTAAGTAGTTCCTTCAAGGTTTTTCTATTTTTCTAGGGTGATAAAAAGTTGATTTGATCAAAAGTGAGCAGAGCTATTACATAAATATTTCATTTCTATTCAAGTAGTGCAAAAAAAGCTTTTTTGTGACTGATATCAGCTTTAATTTTATAATTAAATAAGCATTTACAAAGATATATCGCCAAAAAGAAAATTGTCGTGCTTTTTTGTCGTATTTTTGATGCCGAAAGCATATTTTTATTGTTAAATCAGTATAATAGGCTGTTAAATATCCCATGATTTAAGAAGTTCCTTCAAGGTTTTTCTATTTTTTAGGGTGATAAAAAATCGATTTATCAAAAGTGAGCGGAGCCTATCATTTAAATATTTCATTTCGGTTCAAGCTGTGCAAAAAAAGCTTTTTGTGATTAATATCAGCTTTGATTTTATAATTAAATATGCATTTGCAAAGATATATCGCCAAAAAGAAAAATTCTCGTGTTTTTTTTGTATTTTTGACACCGAAAGCATATTTTTATTGTTAAATCAGTATAATAGGCTGTTAAATATCCCATGATTTAAGTAGTTCCATCAAAATTTTTCTATTTTTCTAGGGTGATAAAAAAATCGATTCGATCAAAAGTGAGCAGAGCTATCGTATTAATATTTCATTCAAGAAATGCAACTTACATCATTCGATATATTTAATTATTAATCTTTATCTTTGTCTTTTTTTAATTTAAATTGTATGAACTTTTTGTGTTACTTAATAATGAATTGACTGTCAATTTCAATAACGTTAGACACTGACTTATAATTTTGCACAAACGTATGAGAAAATTGAAAACTCCACGTACATTATGTTGTACGGCATTTGCAGGTGTATTAAAAAATATGGGAAAGTCGGTAAATATTTAAAAAAAAATTAATTTTTCCTTGTCATTTTTAAAATATTATATTTTATTATGGTAGCAGGTTCTTTAATAGGCGAGAAATCAAAGTTCATATTTTGTTGAACTACCGGTAGCAACGAGATTGAACTAATTGGATAGACGTCCTTGTCCGAGTGCAATATCACGAATACGTAGACGTAACTAGTGTAGGCAGATAGTCGGAAATTATTGCGCAATTTAATTAAAAAGCAGAAAAAACTATTTAGTCATTGTATTACCTGCAAAGACACTCAGACAATTTCTCTTTCCGCCTGAAGATCTCATTGTTTCAGAGTCGGCAACACAGTCGTTTATTAAATCTCCCTAACCATCCCTAGCCAGTCAATTACGAAAGTCAGTATGTATTAGAAAAGAATTAAATTCGATTTTCTTTTCTTCTTTCTTTGGTATGTGTCACTTTTGTAACGAAACGACTGACGGGTGAAAGAGGCGTGAAACATCTTTCAAACGTAACAATTTTAAATGAGAAAATTTTTCGCGATTCGCTTTCATTTATAGCCCGACGACGACTGAGATTGAGGCGCGGCGAGACGAAACCGGCCGGAGGACTAGACGAGTGTCATCGAAAGGAATACGGGCTGACGTAGGACAAAAGGCAGGCCGAGAGAGAGAGAAAGAGTGATAAGCGACAGTTGGAAGCCTACCGCCCACTGTCAGTCACAGTTGATGGAGATGGGTTTTTCAACTCCGTCAATTGGGTCGGACAAAAGACAAGAAACCCTTGAAACAAGTTCGATCTGCGAGCGCCTCGGTGTTCTGCGGCCTCCGCGGTGAGCGCTGCCCGAGCAAATCGGATAGCGTCAAACGGGGAGTCGTTCAAAAGTTTCGGTCATCAGGGAGTAACCATATTCTCTCGTACTTAACTATCAATTGACCGGTAATTGATAAACGTTGTAATTTAATGATTATTTGGAGATCGTGAGATGCGGTCTTGTGTGATGTAGGTTTAGAAAAACGTTTTCTTTATTGTGCCAATGTTTCGATCTTTATTTAGATCATCTTCAGGGCCTGGGGTTTACATTGTTTGGATTATACAAATACATTTATATGAAAATCAATTTATACAATGATGTACGCAATATAGAAATTTTAGGTTTAATCAAAATATTTATATATTTGTGCTCTGTGTAGGTGTGTCATTGTTGTGTGTCGTGTTGCGTGTTGTTGAGAATGCTACATCACTGGCTACCCACCATTTTGAACACTTAACACAATTTCGACTTCAACAATCCAAAAATATTAATTAGGCCTTATATTTAGGTTCTTCGTTTTATTTAGCACTTCTTCCCCCCTTCTTATCATATGTTATGTATGTAATCTTTATTATTTAATAAGATTAAATATTAAATTTATTGTGTGATATTTCGTGACCGTTAATTGATGATTATATGATTATAGACATTTTAGATTCAATCATTGCATAAATTCACTTTTTCATATCTTACATGTATTTGTATAATTTAAACAATGTTTTTAAATCCCAGGCCCTGAAGATGGTCTCAATAAAGATCGAAACGTTGGCACGATAAAGAAAATGGTTTTCTAAACCCACGTCACACCAGACCGCAACTCACGATCTCCAAATAATAAATTAAATTTAGTTTTACTTTACCGTTCAATTTTGGGTTTTACCCTAGTATTTGTAATATGGTAAAACCCAAAAGTGAACGCTGAAAATATATCTACACAAGTGCACAAGCATATAGGGTTAAAGCTCACAAGTTTTTTTGATTTGTTATTAAAACCATGCTAAAAAAACTTGTCTAATTATTACTTTTACAATTATTGTTACATTCACAATAACAATAAAATTAAATCCGAAGTTGTTGTGTTCAGGAAGGGTGGTAGATTAAGTTATCGTTTCTTCTACAAAGTTGAGACCTTACAGGTGATGAACGAATATAAATACTTACGCATTTTATTTACGCCCAGGCTTTCTTGGTCGAAGCATGTCTCTTCAAAGGCGTTGGCAGCTAAATTGGCATTGAATCAAACCTGATCGTCTATTATGGCCCATAACACGATCCCGATCAATTTTAATCAAGTTTAATATATTTAACTCCATGTCGCGAACCTTGCTATGGGTGTCAGGTGTGGTGCTTTCAGAGGTTCGAAGCTGTAGAAAAGGTCCAGCGATTTTTCATAAGAAAACGATTTTCTCTACCAGGTGGCACACCAAATTACCTCATCTATTTAGAAACTCACACCGATTTACTGTTTGTGTTCACTCTCAAACTGCACTTTTCCTTTATCCTGAAGATTTTTCAGACTTGTGACTCAAAAATTACCTCACTTGAAATAGTTCGATCAGATATTTCTTGGTTCTTCTGCCTGTCCCCACTGTTCGCGAAATATGATATTGGCTTCTCCCTGTCATTGGAAAATATCACTAACCCACCCATTTCTCGGAGTTAAGGAGTGCTCCAGCGTTTGTTCGATCTGAAGAAGCCCCAATTTTAAAGGTGACTCTTTGGTTGACATGCGTTGGCTTTTTAAAATGTGCTGCGATGTTCTTTCATCTGAACTCGGCCGTGTGGAAGTATTGAACAGGGCTTCTGTTCGCTTTGCAATTTGCATGCCCTCGAATCTTTTTTTCATTTCTTGACAGTGTTTAAATTCTGGGTGAGATCCGCGTGCTTCACCTAGGTTACTTCACTCTGCCAAGGGTAAACATCCGGGTTTTTGGAGGGTTCAAGATCTAAGCCTTTGATTGGGTTTGCGGGGCAGTCTTTTCTCTTTTTTAAATGCATATAAGATTTTTATTGTTATTTATTTTAACACGGCGACCTACGGCACACGGATTTTTCGATCTATTCGTCTATTTACAGTTATGTTTTTCTTTTCTCTATTGTATTTTGATTTCTATTGTAAATATAACAGTTTTTCATTCATTCATTAATAACAATTCAATTTAAGTTTCACCCACTGGCGTCCTTATTAGTGAAATGTTCAAAAGGAAGTCTGGATGCAAGTTCATGTGGTTTGGTTTTCACAGCATGCCGTTTTTTTTTGTGGCCAGCTCGGGTCGATTTTTGGATGTTCACGATGTCCGGTTTGATCCCGATGAATAATTTTATTCCGTACCAAGGGCCACCAACCATGTCAGTAGTTTCTTTGAAATTTTTGTAAAACGGCTGTCCCTTCTTTTTGGCACATCTCCACAACTGTATGCCATAGATCCAGGTCGGTTTAAGGACCCGGTTATAAATGAGGAATTTGTTCTGGATTGACACAAAGGGAGTTTCTTCCCAAAAGGCAATACATACAGTTGTCTAAATTTATGACCCAGTTTTTTCTTTCTCTCTCTTTTTTTTAAAGTGTACTCTCCAGTTTACAATCTAGCTTCGTATTTAAATACTTCATTGTGTTTTGTGTCGATACTATTGTCCCTTTTATATTAATTAGATACGATTTTTTTTGCTCGTAAAAGTTAATATATACAGACGTTTACTAATTTATTTTAATTTTTCAATTTTTTTGCCCATGTGAATTCGGTTGCTCATATTTTGCATTTTTTTTTGTCGATGTTTCATTACTACATCATCCCCGGATGTTGCTATAGTTGTGTAGTCTGGTGGTGACGGATCACTGGTATAAGGCAAAATAAAATCCCCAGTCAACCACAGTTTTTATTTCAAAAATTTCGTTCATGCCAGTCTTTATGAAAAACTTGAGATACAAACTGAACGGTGGAAAAATATTGCTTATCACGTTTAAACGACTTGGGCGAGTTATCAGTTTTCAGTAAGGTGAAATAATAAAACAACTACTGACCAACATTTTACGCAAGCAGAAATTTATTTTATTTTCTTTTGGCCGGGGGAAAACTTGTAAAACTACATATTAAAACGAGTTTTTTGCCGACAAGATAGTGTTCTGACGACTCGAGTCTATTGTAAAATTTTACTCTTTGAAGATAAATTATTAACCGTTTGATTTATGATCAAAAGTTGAGATGACAACTACGTAAATCTACATGTACCAACCAGCACATAGGATTCCAGACTAGAATAGGGTAAAAGCCCACAATCGAACAGGAGAAAAATACCTACTGACCAAAATTTTGCATAATTAACAATTTAATGTTCCGGGTCATAGCTCAACTAAACTAAATATTTAGTTTAGATTATAACAAAGCCTCACAGACACTTTATATTTTATGCCGATGTTTTTTAATAACGATTTTAATAAGCGAATGTCTTCGGGTAGAAATTTATGTTTACGTTAAGATTTTTAAGATTAAGATTTTTAGTTGAGATAAATTTTTAAGTTGAGGAAGTTAGTGTCCGAGTGGATCGAAGTCACGATAGCTCAAGTGGGAGAGCAGCGGCGTATCTAACCGAAGGTCGTGGGTTCGAATCCCGCTCGTGACACCTTGTTTTTTATCTCAACCAAAAATCTTAATTAATTGAAAAATATTAATTGGTCAAGCGGACCACGAAAACTAGTGAATTTAAAAGGTAAAATTACGTTTCGGTGGCTCATAATTATATTGAAAAAATTCTGTTCACTCTCGGGACTTATAGGCTGTAGGGTGTTTTGAAGGTATTTCTCAGTTTTAAATAAATCGGTGAGTCTCAAATTGAGTAGTTGTGTCGAACGTTATCGCGAGCAGTAATGTGTTAAAGCGTATTTATGTAACGATCCTTGTCGGATCGTTATCCGAATATGTTTATTGAACGAGAAATCCGGCGGTGTACTTTGTCGATGGTCTCTGCGAGACAAATCCCATCCAGGCATGCTGTAAGCACAAATAAGCCTCAGTGGGAGATATCTTTCCACCGGGATGGACATACGTCAAGGTCAGTGGCCCGACTTTTACCGAGGTTGATAAGATCTTCCTCTTAACATGTAACATACTTACGAAAGTTATCTAGCATCCTTCACCGTGGGAATATATCAGGAACTAAAAACGAACAACGAAGAAGATGAGATAAAACGACTTTCTATATATGTTTTAAAATTAAGACAGTGATTGCGTTTTATTTTTCATAATAAATCCCATTTTATTCCACTATAAACATGTAAGGGCCGATAGTTTCCATACTGGTTTTATTTCCGTTATTCTATGATTCTCGGTGTCCTATTTTCCGTTGTTTATATTTCTCCTTGTATTTACGTTGATAATAAGACATAGTTTCGTTTTTTTCTAATAAAATATTTATTACCAACGGTATAAATTAATATATTTTGGTATTTTATGGATTTTATTATACAAGTTTACTATACTATGTCTTGTAGGGAGTTAGCAACCATAATTTTTCTACCAACTTTAAAAAAGGGATAGTTCTTGGCGAACAGGTCCCGGGTCGATCTCCGCTCGAATGACAGATTATAGGGGTAGGTTATGCTGGTGAGTGGTAAGTTTACCATGGAACTGAGAAAATTTGGAGGGGTTAAATTATTTATAAAGGATATTTTGAGGTCGTTGTGGAGGGTAGTATTGGAGACATATTAGGGAGCGTTGAATATGATTCTGGGAATTTCGGATTTGAAGGACTGAATTCATTGGCCATTTATAGGTGCGACTAAATGAGGTCCTTAAGAAATCAACCCCTCACCAAAAATTGTGAATTTAGCATGCCAAGTATCCGTTTGTTCCGCCGGTAAGGGGCCTCCCGCGAACGGCTTCTCCTACCATTAGCGAGAGAAAGAAGGGAAGGGAGATAGATAAATAGATTGATTTGATTGATTGATAGATAGATAGATAGAGAGGGGGAGGGAGATAGATAAATAGANAGAGAGAGAGAGAGAGAGAGAGAGAGAGAGAGAGAGAGAGAGAGAGAGAAAGAGAAAGAGAAAGAGAGAGAAAGAGACCGAGACCGAAACCGAGACAGAGTGAGAGAAGAGAGAGACCAAAAGACCTAGACAGAGAGAGAAAGAATGCATATCGTTTTACTTAAAAAATCTCTTAAATTTAGGTCTTACAAAAAAACTAGAGAGAGAAAGAGAGAGAGAGTGAGAAGGAGGTCGGGGGCCATTTCCTCTTGAGACCCTTGAGGGATTGTAGGAATGGTTCTGTTGGACAAGGCTTGAGCAAGATTATGGTGAAGGAAGAGTTTATTGCGGGATTTGGTAAAGCTTATAGGAATTAATTATTGAATAATTGGAATTTTAAGATCGTTGTGGAAGGTAGTATTTGAGCCATAATTGAACGACTTTAGATTGATCGGATTGGATAAGTTGGATAATGGAAGTTTTAGCGGTTCCCCACAGTTCTATTCAATACGCCCGAGATTGCAAGTTTGTTTTTCGTCAATAGCTGTTGTCTTTCTATACGTTTGTAAGTATACTGCTCGTTTAGGTCTTGTTGTTTTAGTCGTGTATGCTGACTACATGTTAAGCGTGAGTCTGGGCGGAACCCAAGGTAACGAACAAAGTCGGATTTGAGGATAGGAACATTGTTTTAGTAGATTGTTAGAGGAGATTTGATTCGGAGTGTAAATGTGACATGGACGCACTTCCTTTCATTTATCTACACCAATCGTTATACATCTGATATGTCCCTGCAGATCATCCGAAGCAACTTCAGGATCGGGGTGAGTGGATAATACAGCTGGGCCAAAGATACGAGGAGAGTGGTAGGTGTAGTTGGGACATCTGCAGTATAAAGGATTTGTCCGAGCACATGCCCCCGCGGTCAGAGAACAGTACTACTCGGAGTAATATGATCGGATACGAAAGAACCGCTCTGTTAAGTAAGAGTGGAAGATTAAATAAATGGTACTTTGTAGGGGACACGCTTAAGAAGGTCCTTAAGAGGTCCTTAAGAAATCAACCCCTCACCAAAAATTGTGAATTTAGCATGCCAAGTATCCGTTTGTTCCGCCGGTAAGGGGCCTCCCTTAGGCCCCACTGGGTGGAGGATGGGAAAAAATTTAACGGATCTAAGTATTTCAATCAAAAGACCTTAGAAGAATCCAAACTCCTTACTATGCCTCCAACCTCACAATAACTTTAACATTCCCTTCGTTAAAGAATTGATCCTTCCAGTTTCATGTTACAATCCAATTTTTCAACCCATCCTGACCCTACTGCTCGATTCCTCTCCACTACTTCCGATCCGAAGAAAGGACGCTTCGCCTCAAAGGACGATGGCCTCGAGACCTCCTCGCTTCAAATTCATTTCGTGTCTTCATAAAATCAATCTTGAGGGAGCACTAGTAAGTCATCTTTCAAGACTTTTTGAGTGGCGTTTGTTGTTTTAAAACATACTCGTGTTAAAGTAAAACTCGAGTGAATCAATTAAAAAAAAGGCTATCCCTCCCTTTCCCCGGGTGTTCCGCGTGTGAAACTTCCACGTCTGTGCGCCCAAGCCCTCGCCAGGGGGGAAGTTGTCACCGTTTGTAAACAAATACATGGCACCCTCCGAATAAGGAAGCGCTTGACATTCAATATTACAAGTTAATTTATAGGAGGAAGGTCAGAGGCTATTAAACAACACTTTCGCTTCCCCATTGTCAACAACCGCCACTTTGTTTCCATTAAAGCACGCTCAGACACACCTCATCAACACGGGGGGGAAGTGGAAATGTTTTGAAAATGACCAAAATGATCATTGCCTAGACGGTGTGATTTATTAGTCATTTTTTTTATTGTTATGAACTTAATGGGCTGAACATGCACATTGACATATGGCATCGAGACCTATTTAAATATTAATAATGAGAAGACTTTTGCAGACATTTTTTTATGTATTTACAAACTTGTCTATGTTTATTCTAAATATAGAAACAAAGAAACAAAACAATAAAAATTCTGAGGCATTGTGATAGCTCCCGTTCAGGAATAAAGGAAATGTTTGTGATATGTTGGTTCCTGAAAAAAATTGGATTTTAATAACGGTTTATGACCTAGAGGCTGCATCTTGTCAATCTTTCTTAATATAAGATGCTTAAATTGTACTCGAGCTTAAAATATAACCGTGTTCTTGTTATTTTATGGGCCCTTAGCTACCTTTAAAAAACTTGCAAACGAAGAATAACCAGCAGACACCGACGAGGGAATCCCAATGAGCAGGATCGCAAATATACTTATTTTATTGAGTGTTTACCGATGTACGTGATTAGGTTTCTCATTCACTTGTCTCGGCTCACTTAAGTCTTATCGGGCTTTTTTAGCTACTGTCAACGACATTACATTTCCTACATCACTTGAGACACGATCGATAAATGAAATTGATAACAATATCAATGTCTCATGTCCAATTAACCACAGATAAGGAGAATTGATAAGATTTACATACATTACAGAATAGATATAAGTTTATGCAAAAAAAAACTTTTATCCTGGCGAGTTGACATATAAGATGGACCTTCTTTTATGCACTTTGAAAAAGAACAACAGCGTATAAACTGATGCAGATAATAAAAAAAAATTAATAATTAAATGACTATCAGTATATTTCAGACTCTTTAGTGAGACCCCCTCCAGGAAATCTTTATTGAAAGGCGAAAGATTTATTCGATATGAAGGGAGACCAGGGAGCTATAACGTGTCAAGAGTACTGTCGATAGGTGGCCCTCGGAGAATCTGATTCCTAGAAGAGGGCGATTAAGAATTCATAATAAAAATAAATCACCCAATTAAGACTCAAATAAAGTAATAAATCAACCGATTAAGATGTTGGTACTTGCTTTTGGGCCGAAGCCCGGGTATGTGTCAAGCAAGTAGAAAAAGGTTGCTCGATGTGTCCCACCTTAATTGAAGGTTTACACATGTTCCTTGGTTCCATACAGAGATGTGTGCCACCCGGTATTGGAATCGTGCTTGAACACGGCAGCTGGTGTTTGGGTCCCCTGTTCCGACATTTTATTTATCGTGCCAACGTTTCGATCTTTATTAAAATCATCTTCAGAGCTCAAAGTGTTTGTTTTCTGCGTAATTATGCCATTCTTGTGTGTCGTGTTAAGAGTGCCATTGAGATATTCAGATATGCTTCCTCTAATTGCAATAAAGTCGAGATGCATTTGGGCAAATAGAAAAATGATGCATTGCAATGTTTTAGGTCTCAGTCTACGGATCTCAGTGGATATGGAAGTGTTTTCATAATAGTTGATACAATACCATGGTTATGAAATTGATCGCCCCAGTTTGATAAAATATACAAAAAAGTAATACAATATGTTCCTAAAGTGCTCCCCATACTTGGTATTTTCTTTACTCTTAATCATATCTCAAACTTAGCCGGATAAAGCTGAACTATGTGGAAAAGGAAGGTGATGAAACAACATGACTATCCTCCATATCGATGAACGTTAGAACACTAGTTAATTAACTAATGTTTAAATTTATTTCAAACAAACAGTTGGACAAAATGCGGAAGTGAATGTGCGTAGAGGAATTAAAATGCACGTTAACTTTTGATGGCCAAGCCAATCTAAACACTGCGGATTTAATAAAACAATGTCGCTGTGATCAACATTCAGGGTCGAATGGATCACCTTCCTTGTTTATTTTCTATACAACATAGTCTTAAAACTTTGTACTAAGAACTGGTGAACCTGTGAACCCGGGGAGTTTTTGTAATAGGGCATACCTGTTTGACTCATTGTACGTACCATGATTCAGAAACACTGATACGTGCTGCTTATACATAGTATACATACAGGCATTTTAAATAATCAAAGTGATGTTTATAGGAAGTCTGATAAGAGAAGTACAGCCATATTTATTCGTAGCATCATTAATTCGCCAATAAATAACGATAGACGATGGAAGAGAAAGGATGCCTTCATTATATTCTTGAACCAATTAACGCAGGATGTTAATCAATGATTTTTGTTTATTAAGAGAAGATAAAAAGTTTCTGCGAGCAAGCAGAAGCTTTCACGAAATCAAAAAAACAAAAGGAAGTTTAATCAAATAGAAATCAGAATTTTAAGTGATTAAAATAATACAATTAAAAAAAAGTAGTTTTTCTATTTTCAAGGAAGGGCCTCAAAAGTGTAATATAAATAAAATTAACTTTATTTATAAATCTTCTCAAACCTGTTAGTGGGCGGCACAAAAACGGCCAAACAGCCAGGATATTTTACAAAAAATGGTGTGAGTAATTTGAGCTTTAAATTTCACAAAAACGAGTAACCTACCCGGATCAGCTCACATATCCGAAACCGCAAAAAGGATGTGAAGGTATGTCGAGGATATTGGTGATTCTGGATGTAGGCATGGTTTTTTCCTGGACCGATAGACCGTAAAAGTGGAAGGACAATAATTGTCAAAGGTCTTAACGAGTTAAGCATGATAGAAAAATTGTTGCTAATTCGATAAAAATCTATACAGGGTGTTCGGCTACTCGTGTTACAAATTTTGCCAGTAGATTCTACATTCAAAATGGAACCAAAAAGTACTAATTAACTATGGTCCGAATCTCATCAGTTTTGGAGTTATTCCCCTTTTTCTGATTTTTTAAGATTTCACGACCTTACTTCAAATATACAATGATAACTCCAAAACTAAAAGGATTTGGACAAATCCGTTGATACCATCGAAAAATATGTGAAATTTTTAATAAGATGTGATTCACACTAAACTTAGTGAAATAAGCGTTTTAGTAGCGAGATCTTTAACAATTTTTTTTTAAGTTGAAAAACTTTCTATGGTGATTCTAAACTACTATTTCCAAGCCTAGTGATCAGCATATTTCAGAAAACGTACTCCATTTAATATCCTTTTTAGTGGAGTAATTGCTTTTTTTAAAAGATGAAGAAATTGATGTAAGAAAGGAGAAAACCGTGGTTGACGGATTGGTAACGTGGAAATATTAATAATAATCATTAAATTCACTAATTTCGTGGTCCGCTTGACCGATTAATATATTACAATTAATTAAGGGTTTTAGTTCAGGTAAAAAAAGTCAATGGCACGAGCGGGATTCGAACCCACGATCTTCGGCTTGATACGCCGCTGCTCTACCACTTGAGCTATCGTGCCCTCGATCCACTNTATACATATATCTCGCTGGCCACCGGCAATTTCAGTTTTTTTAATTTTCAGTAAATTACTGGTAGGCTTCGAGAATCACCCACCCCTGGTGTTGGCAGTCCGGGCCAGACCTAGATTTTATATTTCTAGCTGCCGAAGTTTGGCTTCAGGGGCTACCAACAGCTAGGTCATTTCATCTCCCTACGCATTCAGTCCCTATCCATTCACACCCAATTTAAATACATTCTTTCTTATTTACATATCATTCACTCAGGGTGGTGGAGTACTCGATATTCCTCCATCACCCTTTTTTTTATCTCGGGTCTTGGTTGAGATGAAAAAGTTAGTGTCACGATAGCTCAAGTGGTTAGAGCAGCAAAGCATTGTGCCGAAGGTCGTGGGTTTGAATTCCGATCGTGTCACCAACATTTTCACCTCAACCAAGACCTTAGATAAAAAGAATAATTAATTGAAATAATTAATATGTTCAATTATGATCGCTAAACATGTATGGGTTCATATAACTAACGTAATTGAGGTCCAATGAGGTATTCAATATTTCCACCATCGATCTTCTCATACTACACATTCCCGCCAATAAATACATTTACTGTCAATATACACTAGGGAAACACACCTTTCAGTACTATATGCAATAAAACAACTTTTCTACAAAAATACAATAGGGGATCCAGATAATCAGTGCCGTGTTCAAACACGATTCTCATATCGGCTGGCATTACTAAACGCTCTCTATATAGAGCCAAGGAATTGCACCCTTCAACTAGGTAGGACACATCGAGAAACCTTTATCTACATGCTGGATAGTTACTCCTGCTTTGGCCCAGAAGTCCGTATGTAAACCTCGCATGGTTTTGCTAATTTATTTCATCGTGGTTATTGCCTTCACAAATTGTTTGAACTAGTAGTTTTCACAAACATTGAGTTTGACATTTTCGTAACGGGAAAAACTGCTGTATTGCTACGCATGGTTCAGAGGACGACACATTTTTAAAATAAGGAGTTACGCGGAAGATGGTTAAAGATAGTTAAACAAAATGTAACAATAAATTAAAATTGAATACTGATATTGATATTATAGCAAATAATTGAATTCCCATGTGAAAAAGCTGTTTCGTGTGTTCAAATTTTCCAATGCCGTTCAAATTTACTCGAAACAGCATTTTTCAATGGGAGGATGCCATCTATTTCGAGAAGGGCTGGTGGACAGTTTGAACAGGAACCGGCTTCCATTTTCGGTCCAGCCTGCGAGTTGACACGTCCCTAACCTCCTTTTACGGAGGTACATCGGCCGTATTTAAGATTGAGAAGGCCCGCGAGGCTTTGACACCCACTGCAAGCGGCCTTATAAATTATGCATTCACCGGAACCAGTTTTGATCAATTGCATCATTACCGATGTATTCCTGAGCGGTGAAAAACTGCCCTTTTTAACGTACTTTTGTACGTGCTTCATCTGCCGCAGTCCAAGTTATGCCGCGAGGAGAGGAAGTGCCTCGGCATAGCGCGTGGTAGGCGGCGGGGTTGCTCGAGATTGAAGCCCAAACGTCGTGCCGTTCAAACAGCATTTTCAGAATATTAATTGACTCGAATATCCCGTGAGTAGCATTAAGACGACGAGAAGACACAATAAATGTACATTAAATTAAGGGCAGTGGCCATTTAATTACCCGAAGAATTTTCCATTGAGAGTTTGACTGGTGGACGCGTAATTTTCATGAACAAAAATTTTCTGTTGAATCGAAATTATGTTTTAACAAGGAAAACATTGGAAATTTGATTTAAACTTTATTTTACATTTTTTAGGAATAAAGCATTCCTTCGTTAAATCATCGTATATTTATTTCCAACTATAAACGTACGATGTGTACATTCTATAAAGCATAGGAAAAATCCGAAATTTGTGATAAACCTATGCAGGTGTTGTTACAACATGGTATATTTGATCTTAACCCTTTCTGAAAATTTCTTATTTGAAATATTGGCTCAAAAGTATGAGTCTATATGTCAATCGTGTATGATTCATTTTAAATTTTCCAAGTTGGGTGAGAATGATTCTTCTTCTAACGAAACAAAACTTTCTAGGCTTTTCATTGACAAAACTAGATTACATATAGATATAATCAATACAATCCATTTTTAATTAGATTTATACTTTCACAAACTTAGTTTATTTATGTTATTAATTAGTATTTTATTTATGTGTTACGAGGGTATTTCAGCTACCAGGTTATATGAACTCTCATAGTCTCGGTGGTTTTGAAAAAAAAAATTGTAAGTATGTCAGGTTCGAATGCAGGGCTGCTTGATTCGAACGCTTGCCCTGTACCTAACAGTCATGAGTCGCCGTGCTTTAACCTTAGCGGTACCAGTTGCCTAACCGGTTGGTTACCATTTATTTTGGTTCTTTGATGGGACTGGATATTAAAAACAAATATATATTTAAAGAAAATGATGTAGATCAAATTGTAAACGATTGCACGATAGTGGTTGTGACATACATACGACATTACATATCCCACACAACCTTAAACCGAGAAAA